GCTTACATCAATAGTTCAGATACATTTGGTATATGAAACATATACATACGAGAACATTGAACATAGACCAATTTGAACAGGAGGATAAATATTACCGGTAGCAAAAAACGATCCAGCACCGGTAGCCTTGCGTAGGATTAATCTATATATAATTAGTATAATTGAATAGTATCTCCCTGTTGGACTTCACACCAATCCTCTTACTGTTATATTTTTAAGAATTTCACTATTGTTGACTATCACTTTGAGACATCTTTGACTTCATTGTTTCATCACTTCTATCTAATGTCTCTTCATTTCTTTGACTTAAAACATGACTTCCTGACTTCCAATATGACCTCATTGCTTCTTGCATGACTTTACTTCTAGCAGGAATTCAATATTTCTAATATGACTTCACTACTTCTAACATGACATCATTGGATTTAACAAAAATTCACTACCAGTACCAGGTACTTCTAAACATGACTTCACTACTTCAAAAAAAAAAAATTACTTCACTGCTAACATGACTTCACTAATTCAAAACACAGCTTCACTTCTTCCAACACAATTTCACTACATCTAACATGAATGAGCTACTAAGATGACTTCATTACTTCCAACATGAATTTACACATGCCTTCTAATATGACTTTTTTACTTCCAATTATCATTGTTTCAAACATGACTTTATTGCCTCCATGGACAAGTAAATACAATGTGGGCAATGTATCTAACTTTAATTTGCTACCAACTTAGTTTAAATACAACATACATCCACCCCCACCTATGTATCTCTCTCACTATATATATACATATATATATATATATTATATGCATCATGTATATGTATATATGTATATGGGTAATAAGGGGAGAGACTGCAACCAGGTTAGCAAAATATAAAATGAGTAAAATAAAGTAGGGTTAAACCTGAAAATAGCACTTAGCTTAGAAGTAGTATCTGTGGGCACAATTCAAATGCTGCCCATAATTATTACTGCTACGCTAAGTGCTATTTTTTAATTTTATTCTGTTTTTTTCTGTTGTTTTGTTCGTTGTCCAAGGCTTCCTGCCGACACGTTTGTTGTTTTGTTGCGTTCCTTTTTTTCAGGTTGAACCCTACTTTGTTTGACTCATTTCATATCTATGTATATGTCAAGCTATTTTATATTTATCATATACATCATATATTATTTAATATTTAAGACCCAAAATAGCAGCTAGCAACATACACGACTGCCAGACAAAGTCATTTCATTTCAGTCATTGATGCTTTCTAAATAAGAGAGAAGATGAAGAATGAATTTTCAAACAAAACACATACCATAATATGGAAAACAAAATTTATAATATTGCTTGAAAGCTAAGTGAAAGATTAAATAACAAATATACAATTTTATACAAGTGACACAAATGATGGTTAACTTTTGATAACTTGGGCATTTTCTGCATGATCTGTAACGGTTTGGCTTCACAAATAAATAAAATCAAGACATTTGAACTTGAAGACAACAAAACCCAACACTGTTTGAAGCTCTTTATGAAGTTTAACAGTACCAACGACATGCTTTTATTTTTAAATACACAACATCGCATCCACCAATGACAAGCAGTCAAACAATAATTGGAGGAACAAAAACTGTGACTGATTAAAATATTTAAATGTTTGTGTATGTGGTGACACATAGACTGCACCAACCGACCTCACCACGCATAAAGAAAAATAAAAAAGTTATTGCAGAATACCTATTAAAAGAAATGTTAATAAAATTTGGTTTACAGAATCAACAAAGTTTAAAGTAAAGTCTCAAATCAAACTGTTACACTACACCATAAGAAAATTGATTTGGAAAAACTCATTCTGCAGGATGCACCTGTTAAAAAAAAAGCATAAACCTTAATTAGCCAAAATATACAAGACGACATTTTAAAAAAAAGAAAGAATCTTTAAATTTGAATAAGATATGGGACGAATGATTAGTAAATAAAGGGGATAATGTTTAGAGCTTTATGAACCCTCGGGCAGTAATCACTTCTTCAAGAAAATAAAGATTAGGTAGCTTTAATCTGAACCTTCATCTGTCAATTTATATTGGCTTGGTGTTAACACATGTCTGGGTGATGTACAGTTTAATATTTTGGGACAACCCTAGAAGCTTGCAGTTGAACTTCCTAGAAATTGATTTGGACACAAGCACATGTATAAAACTACTACATTATCTTTATCAAAGATTTGGAATCAATTTGTTTTATAATTTTTAAAATTTGATAACAATGTTCTTGTGCATTTAAAATTAATGACTTAAAAAGATGTAACGTTTTTATATCTTACTAAGCTTACCCTCTGTATTTTACTGGAAATTCACAAACTTATATAATCTTGACAGTACAATTTTAATTTCCCTCTTTTCAACTTTCTTGAAGCAATGCTAATATTTTTTTTGTTTAAATCCCATTAGTAATTTAATTACAACACTGAAGAAAATGTTTCACAATTTAAAGTAGTGAGAAAAAGTTATTATGCTGTTATCACTTTGCCCTTAAGGTCATGGTGAGCATGAAAACAAAATAAAAGGGACATATGAGATGAGTCATATAACTCAATACGTGAAGTCTAGGGAGAAAAAAAATAGTGGTATCTGTATCATGAAAAGAGAACTAAAATAAAAGTAAAACCATACTAGTTACATACGCTATAGTTGAGTGCTGGAGAATAATATTTACACTGTCATTACTGATCTAAGCATTCACAGCTAATATTTAGCATCTCAATTAACAAAGTAAAGTATTTCAATTTTAAACTGTAAAACAAATGTATTTATAACAAAGACATTTTATCTATACACAATATTCACAGCTACAGTTTAATGTTGTCGGTATGTACACCTTTTTTTTATACCACAAAGTTTATTATCAATTACTTGATAAAAAATAAAAAAAAAAAACACATAATTATAATATGTGTGAACCAAACAATCAATATGACACATATCAGTCAAAAAACAAAATGTGCCCAAATTCAAAACTTGGGTAAAAGTAAAAGAAAATTTAATATTTAGTGATACAGGACGATCCGAACAATGTGCATATGCAATGCTAATTTTTATGTCATTTAAATTTGAATTCATATTCTGCGGGGGGGGACTCACTATGGCCCCGGCTGACCCACTGGCAACAACCTCCATCTGCTTGGCTGTGCGATACAACATATTATTAAGGTGGGACTACTTGCCTGTCCCCCTGGCCTCCTCAAGTTCAAGAAAATTCAACTTGGGGTTCACCGCAACTGAGGCCAGTGTGCAATGCCAGCATTTCGCTTCAATTGCGTCAATTAATAGGTTATTGTGTATACATTTATCAATTGATTTTTATTCTTTTTATATGAGAATGTAGTTTAATTATATGTTTGCTATGATTTACAATAAACTATTCAAACAATGGGACTTAAACAGAAGAAAAGTAAGTTGCTACATTGTTGCAATATGGTGGCCCAAAATGATTTACTGTGACAAAATGTGTGGAAACAATACAAGCACAACATCCCTGTAGATTCATATGTAAAGTAGATTTATTCAATATTTCACATGCATATATACAAACATTTATCATTTAGAGTAAGAATAGGCTAAGGTACTGAACAAACAATGAAACTGCTCATGCAACTTAAGCAATAGGAAAAATAAATGAGAATTATTTTAGTCAATGTAAAGAAAAACTTTGCAAGGGAAGAGAGCTTGAAAGACGAACAATGGAGATTGTTGAAAAGATTTAATATTGGCAGTGTTATGTTGTTCTGTATAAGAAGATAAAACCCTGTGAGATTTATGCAGCACAAGTACTAGACAACTGTAAGAATAGATTAGCAAAATATCTTTGACCTCTCCATGCAATTTCCAATAATAAAATGTTATCTATTTTTCCATTGCTAGTTTTATTAAAGTATTTAAAGTCAACACTGCATAAAAAAAACAATGGTGTGTTATATTGATGCTAACTTCTTATAATAAAAGAGATATTTGTAAAGAATACTTTTATTGATAACAATAATAATTATAAGCTGTGATGAATGTAGTAGAAAAATTATACATGATATGAGGGGAAAAAATATGTATAATCTTAGGATATTTATTTAATCCTATATGAATGAGAATCACATTTTAAAAGTAACTTGAAAAGATACCAAAATTGAGACATTTAACAATAGATAATAAAAAGATATGGTACAAAAAATATTTCAGGCAAAATATATTAGATTGACATTGTTACAACAGCACGTTATGATCTTTTTTTTTTTTTTAATAATTAAGAACATATCTTTTTTGTTCAAAATTTTTCAAAGAACTTTCTCAAGCACAAAATTTGGTGTTCAAAAAAAAAAATTCATCATTTTTTTTTTTTTTCATGTAACAATTTGTTTTTTTTCTTTTTTTTTTTTTTTTTAATAATTAAGAACATATCTTTTTTGTTCAAAATTTCTCAAAGAACTTTCTCAAGCACAAAATTTGGTGTTCAAAAAAAAAAATTCATCATTTTTTTTTTATTTCAAGTGACACATTGTTTTTTTTCCCTCAAATATGAATAGAACCCTGCAGTTTAATCACTAGTTGAGCTAAGCGAGTCAGAATCACCTTTACCACATGCAAACAGTGGAATCTCTCCGATTGAAAGTGGTGCTGTTGGATCTATAAACCTGGCTTGAGATTCCTTCCCAGCTTCCAAAGAAGCTTGAGTGTCTGTGTTAATGGATGCAGTTTCTTTCAAGTCAACCAGCTCCTCCTTGAGAGATTTCAGAGTGTACTGCAATGTTGTTAAAACACTGTCTTTTTCAACAGGGCTGTCGTCAAATTCAATGGCTGAGATGTCAGATTTGGAGCTTTCATCCTCCAATGATGAACTAAATTCATTCTCACTTGCATGGGTTTCCATCTGTAAAGTTTCATCCTTGGTTTCTGTTTTGGGAGAACCAACTGCTGAATCATTGTCATCAGATTCCGAAGTCTGGTTGTCAAGGGAGGTAAATAACTGAGCTAAATATCTTTTGCACAGCTCTGCGAGTGGCTTGACTTTTTGGCACTCATCTCCCGAAAGATGCGCCAGATCTGCCTGATCCAGGGTGTTCAGATTCAGTTTATGGGCATTCAGCGCTTGCTGAAAGTCTAATACAATTGATGACTGACCACCGGCAGCTGAGTTCTGATGACTAGTGAGCAAAGACACAGAGCTGTCGTCTGTGCTTGGCAAAGACACAGAACAGCATTCTGTGCTTGGCAAAGACACAGAACTGCCTTCTGTGCTTGTTGCACTCTTGGCTGTTAGTTGAGCTGACTCTGCCAGCTTCAGTTGTAACTTATTAATGATGGATTTTGAGACCTGTTTGGCATTTGCCAGCTTGCCGGGTCGTTTGCTGGCTTTGGCGATGTTGAAGCCAGCCCGGCTGTCAACATGGAGTTTCTTTGCTCCGATATCAGAGAGGGCTTTAAGTTCCCTGTTGATTATAGCCTCAACTTTCTGGCTGATAGAGAGCTGATCAACTGGACTTTTTGACTTGGAAACTTTTTGTTTCTGCAATGGTCTAGTTTGTGTCTGCACATTTAAAGATAACGGGGTGCTGGACACTTTCCACAATGTTTTTTTGGCAAGCACAGCGGAGCCTGGTATATTCGAAGGGATTTTATCAAATGTCACCTGTGAAACTGGTTTGGTGGAGACTGCTTTTAGAACATGAGTTGAAGCGTTCTGAGCGCTGCCTGCATGAGGTACAATGTGAACTTGTATGCCCTTTAAAGCGTCTTGCCCCACTTGATACATTACAACATCTTGCTGTTGAGTAGAAGGCTTTGTTGCGTTTCCCAAAATTATGGATGGAACTGTAGTTGAAACCTTTCCCAACGTTGAAAATGTTTGCAGTGGCTTCAGGATACTTGAAGCGGCAAGCAGACTTGCAGCCAGAGGATTTGGCTGGGATTGTGCGGTTGGGGTGGTCAATAAGTTTGTTGAGGTTGGCGCCCCTGAAGGAGCAGCTAACGTGACTGTTCTCACTTTAGGGGCTGCTGAAAATGTTGTTAAAGTATTGGGGGCCGGCTGTGGTGTCTGAGCCGGACCAGGCGATGTGGTCACTTCTATGCTTGGTTGGCTCAACACTGAAAACAGATCTGCTTGTATGACTGTAGTTGTTCCATTGCTGTCCAGGGCGATGAATGGCTTTCCCTTCTCCAGGCTGATGTAAGAAGGGGCACCTGGGACATTGGAAGTTTTTTCTTGAGATGTTCTCCTGCCAACTGCCTGAGTAAGTACAACAGGCTGCAACAAACTGGCACCACTCGTCAGCACCATTTGTGGACTCACATCACAATCTCCAGTGGGCTTATGGTTTACTACGACATTAGGGAATGTGGATGAAGATGTCTTCATGGATGGGCTCAACACTGGGAGACTTCTTTGTATGACCAACGGCTGTGCAACACTGTTGCCCTTCACATTTGACAACTTTGAAGTTTCAAGCATAGTTGAAATATCACAGTACTCTGTGGTTTCTGCCGAAGGCTCTTCTGTGGTTGTTACGACCTCTTCAACAGCTTCTTGCGCTATGACAACTTCTTCAGCCATTTCTTCAGAGTTATCAATGCTGCTCGCTCCAAAGTCGACAAAATAGTCTGTTTTACCTTGTTTGTGACTTTTTTTTCTCTTCCTCCCCACAGTTGATGGTTGAGAGTTTGACTGAATCTTAGACCCGCTAAACAAGCCCTTGGCATACGGAGCTTCTGAAATAACAATCTTGCCATCAGAAACACTTATTGCGTTAATTAAGGAAACTTGGCTGGCATCTTTCAGCATGCTGCGAATTGTTCTAGGTTTAGATTTACTGTTACTACTGCAAGTAATCTCATCTGCACCCTCAAGTGTGCTTCTAAGAATCTCCTGAGAAGTAAAGTAAACCGGCTTATGTGAGACGGTTCCAGTTTGTTCTACATCATTACAGCTTCTTCCTTGCACTTCAATGTCTTCCTTTAGACAACCAAGCTCACTAGAGTTTTCAAAGTCTGTTGTTTCAACGATCTCTTCATCAGCTGTGTCTACTGCTATAAATTTACTTTTCTCAGATTTGAAAGTATGTGGGGATCTGCCATTTTTTTCAGCATCATCCAACCTGGTAGCTGCTTCCAGCAAAAGCAAACATGATGACATCAGAGGCTCCGTTGAATCTGACACAGACTTTTCACTCTTGCCAGAATTTTTTTTGGATCTCCTGGATAAAATTTTAGGAGAGCCACTCCTCGGCAATGACAGGGGGGACGAAGGAGGTGACAATGTCGGTTGGTTGGCCACTTCATTGCTGTATGGCTTTTGTGAGGAGTGAACTTGTTCAGTGGATTTTCTTTTACTGCCCTTTTTCAGTTGGGCAACAGAAGACTGGGTGCCATCAAATGCTCCACCTCTCAAATCATCATTATGTGAAGACGATTTCCTTTTTTTAATCATATATTCCCCTCTGTCCGCCCCAGCAGAGCCAGTCAGCAGATGCTTTAAGGTGCATTCAGACATGAAATTTTCCTCACTGCCCTCTTCATTATCATACGCAGCATCCCTGTTTTTCTGCTTGTGTTTCACAGGTTTTCTGTCTTTCCCATCTTCAGCCTCTTGCCCCTGTTGCCCGGCATCAAGACCTGCCGAACTCATGGCAGCCGATGCCAATTGGTCCAAGTTTGAGATGAGGAGATTTTTAACATAATCCCCTTCATCTGGGGCACTCAGGATCTCTTTATGTAGCACTATTGATCCAACTCCTTGGCGCAGCACAATTGTTTTCTCTTTAGGCAGAAAAGAAAGAAGTTCAGGAAATTAAATGAAGATGAAAGCTAAAGAGACAACCAAACATAAAAAAACTTTGAAAGTATAATTTGTTAATTAACAAAAGTTTTTATATTAACCCACGAACTGGCATAACGGCTGATGATTGGCCATTATGGATGCTTATGCGGTGTTATGGCCAATATAATCGGTCTCCACTAAAATTAATATTCTAAAGGCTAATTGGAAGTTTTACTTTTTTTTTTTTAACGGGGGATAACTAACAAATTAAATTTACTTCCTACTCATAGAAAATTAAGGTAAATATTTCATGAGTTAATTATTTTTTTTGAATTTGAATGGAGCTGAAATTTTCTAATTTTTTTTTTTTATAAACTAACAGTAAATTTGGAAAGGAATCATATGGTATGAATGTTGGAATTCTGTCAGCTTTGTGAAATTAACATGACCTTGACAGTGAGTACAATTGTGCTACTATCATCTGAATTTGTTTTTAGACACATAAAACGCTATTCATTCAATTTAGAAAATCTGAAGTTATTGGGGTTTATAGAAATAAAAGAAACCAAAAAACATTGGTCACCTACATCTTTCTCTTAGTGTGCCTATTAATTTCATCAGTACCCTACTTTCTACTACTTCTAGTATTAGAACTTGAACTGCTACTAGTGCTAGCTAGCTCCACTATTAGAACTTGAACTGCTACTAGTGCTAGCTAGCTCCACTATTAGAACTTGAACTGCTACTAGTGCTAGATCCACTATCCTAATTATCGCTACCATGAGTAATGCCCACAAAACTATATTTAAAATCACTTTCACAAAAAAAATTAGTTCAAATAAATTAAGCTTTAAGTTTTGCTGGACAACATCTGAGTGCAGTTCAAGTTCTAATAGTGGAGCTAGCTAGCACTAGTAGCAGTTCAAGTTCTAATAGTGGAGCTAGCTAGCACTAGTAGCAGTTCAAGTTCTAATACTAGAAGTAGTAGAAAGTAGGGTACTGATGAAATTAATAGGCACACTAAGAGAAAGATGTAGGTGACCAATGTTTTTTGGTTTCTTTTATTTCTATAAACCCCAATAACTTCAGATTTTCTAAATTGAATGAATAGCGTTTTATGTGTCTAAAAACAAATTCAGATGATAGTAGCACAATTGTACTCACTGTCAAGGTCATGTTTATTTCACAAAGCTGACAGAATTCCAACATTCATACCATATGATTCCTTTCCAAATTTACTGTCAGAATATCTATACTTATATTGGTCTCCGGATTCATTTTTCTATTAGTTTTAGGTATTTTAGTGATACATATCAAAGTTACTAAACAAGAGTTGACACCACAGCAAAATTGCATTTGAGAGTTCGTAGGTTGAAATGGGGAAAAAAAAAATTAAGTGGTTATATTAAGCAATGATAAATTGAAATTTAGTTTTGTTTCTGAGAAAAAAAAGAGATTGGTGGTGGATGCCTTGACAATACTTCAAAGGTAAATCTTACGAGTTTTGTCTGGTCCAGCTGAGTAGTCATGATCATGATGAAGGCAAAACTCTTCTTCTGGGATGTCAGATTTGATGTCCAACTTCTGTACTATCACCTGAAACAGTTTTTACTTGTAAGTAAACTAAAACAATTTAGGTAGTTACAATAATATTATTTAGTTTTATAAGCATTTAAAAGAGCATTTATTATCATTCATCTTTACTTACTACGGCGAAAAAAACTCCCATTAAAATTGTTTTATTAAGCTAAGTTATAATATAGTTTAATACTTTGTCTTCTTGAGAAACATCTGATTCTGTCTCTGAGTTGCACTCCTCACTCGAAGCTGAGTCCAAAATAAGTGGCTGTGCTGTTTCTGCAGTGTGCCTTTCATAAGGTCGCTCCAACAGCTCTTTCACTCCTATGCACAGTTAGTAAGGAAAAAAAGAGTATGTTTAACATTAATATTATAATTTTTAAAAAAATAGCTTTTTGAAAATCAAATCCCATTAGGCTTTGTTTAAAAAAAAGAAAGGTGTTGAAAAGAGGTGGACAGTAAAATAAAAATATATCTGCTAAAAATGACAGTTGATATTCTTTTTATTGAGGAAATGTTTTATTTTATTGTGTTTAAAATATTATGCTTGGATTATTAAAGAACTACATTTATTTAATGTTTCAATATGTAACAAATCCAGAATTATTAATAGTTTATAATTAGTTTTTATATAAAAATAGCTATTTCTTTTCAAATTTCTGCCTAGATAGCATGTCATCATGTACGGGATGGCCCTTTTGTTTGTTCCACATGCATGGTGTATCTAGTTAATTTTGTTCGGCTATACCAGTGGTTCCTAGAATGTTTCTGATTTAAAGCGCCCTAGCCACATTTAGGTTTTTACCAGGTGCACTATATCAAATTATAATAAATACACTTCTCAGAGATAGCGATTTCATTTTTATTAAATAAAGTGTTGCCCCTTTGGCATGATCCTGCAACACAGCACCCCTGGTTCACGTGGCACAAACTTATGAAACCCCTGGGGTCGGCAATCAATGGTGAACAACCCCCCACACCCCTTGACACATTGTTTCTTTTTTACCGTGTCTTCTCAATGGTGTTTAAATAAGTTGATTTTTTGGGTTGTTGTTTTTTGTTTTTGTGATGTCATTCTTTTTCACATGTATGTGTTTGATCTCCTAAAATGAAGGGCAGTTTTGCCCTGAGAAAAAGTAGTAACTCCTCTGTGATTGATCTGGTAGGTTTAAAACTCATTCTACATCAACCTGCTCATTTTCATATTAAAGAACTAGAAGAAGCTTATCGATGCTAAAAATAAAATGATTTCCTTACTTCTTGCTTTGGCTCTTTTTCTGATGATGGTTTGCTCATCATTACTCTGCAGAAACCTATAAGTTCTGCAGGCATTGCGTCCTCTACGATCCACTGCATTAGTCAGCTCAATAACATCATGAAGACTGTGAAGAGCGCATCTAAAATTCGCTTTCCAGCGTTTTGGTTCAGGGGGATCGCCCTCTTTGTAAATGCCTGACGGAATGAAATTGCCAGCAAACTATTAACTCTTTTACAGACAAGTTTATCATTCAATTCCAGCTTTGAATCATATCTTTTCAAGATGGTTAAGTTTATTTACATTTTAATAGCATGCTTATTTATGTTATATAAGATTTTACACCTGGAACTTTTAACTCAGCGATCATTTAAGTTAGAACCACAGTTGACTGTTAGTCAAGCCCAAGTGGTGTTATGGTAACATAGGCACAGTATCCCAAAATTTTGAAAATCTTCAATGTTACTTACACTGGCTTCTCAGGAAAGAGTCCTCACCAATATCATTTTTATTTAGGTTCTTTCAAGTCTATTTCTCTACATTTATATATATTTGTCCACAAAATTACAGCACTAGTTTACCTGTATGTCTTGCCCATCTTTCAAAAACATCACCATCAGTTTCAAGGTTCCAGCCAAGTCGAGATGCATGCCGCCAGGAAATTTGAAATATTCCTTGATGTCTGTTTGTCCATCGCAATCCAAAAACATTTCCAAGGTCAAGCAGCTCCATTAACCAGGGGCGCATTCTTTGACGATCAATGGGACGCACAGGCCGCCGCAATTTATTGTTTTCAACTCTAATTGTAGATGGAAACTTCTGAAAGTCTATCTGTAATGGTATTACTCTTTTACCTGATGTTCCTGGGCTGGTGCTGGTTGAGACAGTAATAACTTCAATGCTATGGGCTGTTTCTAAATCCTAGAAAACAAAATTTTAAAAGCATGTATATAAATTTTGCAAACATAATCAAGAGCTTACATAATTATTTTTTTTTAATAACAAAACTGATTAAAAAATAATTGTAGCTGCCACTGAAACTGGCAATTCTACCTTCATAATATTTTTCACATATTTTAAGAAGTAAGAAATGCTTTCATTGAAACACTGTGAAACTAATAATTTCATGATTGTAAAATAAATATTAATATTTTATATATATATATCAAGGCAACCAAGATGGTAGCCATGGGAAATGTCATGGTATGAATTGGGTAAATTTACCATAATATAAATAAAGTAGAACAAACAAAAAAAAAATGACAATTTATTCATGCTTACCATTTTTTGCCTTTTAGTGGAACAAACAGGATTGCTATAGTAGCTAAAACTTGTTATAGCCTTTTTTTTTACTTCCTCATTTTTTCAATAATAAGGAGATGGCCTAATGATATACATTCACTGGTAAAAATTGCTACTGTACATCAACCTGAAAAAACCCATAAGGAAATGGTTACAACTTTTATCAAATTCCATAACCAGAATTGAATAGTGTAAATAGTTCAAAAGTATTAGAAAGGTGATTAAAACTTAAAAGTGATTAAGACTTAAAAGGAAAGTGAATATTAAACATTCATCGTGATACATAGCGATATGCGCTAATCTAAATTATGAGAAAATGTCATGCAATTACTAGACTACCTTAATAAAAATTAAAACAGAAGGCCTATCTAAATACATAGATTTAGGGCGGCCAACTCTGATTTACTTCATTTTTATTTACTTTAAAATAGTCTATATGATTAGGGCAAAAGTGCAGTTCAGGTGTGTATATTATTTCTTAACTTTCGTATTTTCGCATGTGTATTCTTGATTAAATAATTCCAGACATGTAACAACAATCTCTAAATGTACAGAGCTAACTTTAATTTGTATTTAGTGTCTTTGAACACCCAGCAATGGAACACAGCGTGAACAGTAAATGATCTCTTCATTTTGTGATTTTCACCCTATATGCGATATTATTTCTGATTATTTCACCTATATACAAGTTTGGTGTGTTAAATTTAATTTTAAAACTGAAGGCATGTTCACAAAAAAAGAATCTGAAATTATATTTAAATTAAAATAAAGTAAAGTAAATTATTTGTTGATGTTTAAAGTAAGTAAACAGTTATTAGGCCTATATCAGAAATATATCATATCATTGGAAATTGGAGGTGTTTCAAATCCACCAATATTTAAATATGGATTATGAAGGATATAGAATAGCTACAAAAAGTCAAAACTTGTGTTACGCACTGGCTTCTATTATGAGAAATTAATCTCTTGTTTTAAGTTATGGCTCGTTCATACAGTGCACAACAAAGGACGATACCATAGAGAAATACAATTATAAAGATATGACACGCAAAAACAGTTGCCAATTACAATTAATAAGATTTAATTTAGTAATAATACAATTACAAAACAAAAGAAATATAATTACAAATCATCAAGTTACAGAGCATCGGAAAATCTTGTACTGGTACACAATTAGTACAATGTGCCAATTAATAATCATGAATGAGAATAAACACCTATGAGCACACAAAGAATAATACACGTCTCGTGAAGTTAAAAATATCTATCTGAATCTCTCTCAATCTTTGAATCCCCTTTTTATATCTATGCGTCGGTACAACCAACGCTTCTAGAAATGTCTTTACTTTTCTAATACAATCGCCAATATTCTACAAAATACTATTAAGAACAGATTAATTATTTTTAGTTGCTGTCGGAAGTAAACACAGTAACATGAAAGGAATAAGCCACACCCATCTATGAACGTAGTGTGCTAGGAATCTAATTTGGGGTCAAGCAAAGTTCACGCACGGGGAAAAGTGTCATACATAACACTTGGCTATGTCCATAATTCATTGAGAAGCCTACATTGTTGTCATAGCCAAAAGGATATAGCTTCTATTTTTTTTTAAATGCAATTGGGGCCCCAGCCCCAAAAGAGTGGATATTATGAGTTTAGTACCTTTCAGTATTTGAATATGGACAAATCAAGTGTATGTGTACAAAGTTTGGTCTAGATCGACTCACCCACACAGAAGCCTTTGAAATTATATTTATTAAGTTCATATACAAAATCGAGTTATGGACACTCAGCCAAAAATCAAATTTTTTTTTTTTTTTCATTTTCAAACCCATCAGTATTTTTTTTTGTTGTAAGCATGCTTCAGTTTGAAAATTTCATTTAGCATACCAACTTATTGATGAAAAAATATGGCATATATCATGGAAAAAAAGAGAGATCATTCATCTAGTGTTGGTTAATTATAACTGCGGGAAGTTAATCTAATAACAAATACACTCAACTTTACTTGATAAAATAGGAAATTGGTTAAGAAATAATATATAAATATACGTACCTGAACTGCACTTTTACCATGATTAGAGCCTAGGGCAGCGGTTCTCAACCTGTGGATCATGACCCCTTTGGGATCGAACAACCCTTCCCAGGGGTCACGTAAGACCATCGGAAACAAATATACTCTACAGTTATGAAGTAGCAAAGAAAATAATTATGTTGTTGGGGTCGCAACAACATGAGCAACTGTATTAAAGGGTCTTGGCATTAGAAAGGTTGAGAACCACTGGCCTAGGGACTATCCATAAATGAAACACTATCATTTTGGCAGATTTTGGATCCTGATCCCCCTCCTCCAATCGTCACATTTTTTTTTCACACAATTTAGATATCTTCATAATAAATAGAGGCTAAAAATGAGGATGGCTGCAACAGCGTCTTTTGTGTATTTATTATAGTTGCAGTGAATTAGGGTTTAGGTTAGGTTGAGGGATCGATTTAGGGTTCAGGTTAGGCATAGGGATCGATTTAGGGTTCAGTTTAGGCATAGGGATCAATTTAGGGATACATTTGTGAAATTCGATAAAATAGTGGAATAGTTTTTTTTACCTAAATAGATCATCACAAAGTCATGAACCCCCCCTCCCATTTACATCATTTATGGATGGCCTATTATTGAAATTATGTATTATAATTATAAGCTCACTTTTGAGTGTAACAAATTCCAAATTAAAAATAACATTAGAACATTATTTTTGCAAAGTAATGTTGCTCTTACTCTTCTTCTACTTTTATATTTTTGCTTGCCATCATATATCACAAATTAAGAAAGAGCCTTTAAAAATGTCAGTTATTAGGCTGAATACATACTCTTTTTATTGATTAAACTACTACAATCTAAATCTAGAGTCTAGACACTGTCAGTTATCACACTGCCTACCAGCAGTGTCCGTGGGTTGCGCCACTCCGCCTCGGTGAGCTGTTACTGTAACTGTTAGACTAAGTTAGACAGCTGAGTAAAGTTTCATTCCACACCCCCTTCCAATTTGAGATTAATCTTGGCACAAATTTTTGAACAATTTGTTGTAAGAAGAAAATAATGGTAATTTTTTTTCCCCTCAAATTAACATTACAGCAAATAAGCCTAAGTAAAGTTACAGTAAAGTAATTGAATGAAGTGTCCGTGGTGATGTCTGGAGCATAACAAAACGAAAGTGAAACTAGCGAAAGAAAAACTAAGCCAAATAGTAGTATTATTACTTTCAAACCTGTCTCAGTTATTTCTTTTAAGACTGAAATTTCAAGTTATACATATTTACCTCAAACTTTCATCAATTATATGAGTATATAATCAAAATTAGAAAATGTTTTGTTGATATGGAATTGGGGCTCCTTTCTCTTTCATTACGGAAGTACCGATTACGCATATCAAGGGCAGATCATTCAATAACGCTTAGATTTCCTCTTTGAGTCTGTTGTAGACGGCGCTTCTTTGAGATACTTTATTTAATTTATGATTTATGTCGAAGGTAATACGCATGCGTGAATATATGACATCATTTAACAGAAAATATGTTCCATGGCATGGCCATGATAAAAATAAATGTCATGTCAAAATTCAAAACTTACTACATTTATGACCGTTTTTACGTTCTTTCTTAATTGAGTTAAAAGTAGGACCAGGGCGTATATTTATTTTTAAAAAGTAATGTATATATAGCAATATATGTATATATAATATATATATTACTCTATATACATCATCCGTCTTCATGAGACGATGGAGTAGCTGACACTCACTTAGACTGACTTAATTGACTCAATGGCTTACGAGGCCGATCCTGGCATGGCTGTCCATGATCCACTAGAGTAGTTCTAGTAGGTCGTGGGCTGCCTCAGCTGCGCGTATTGTAGGAGAACCTTGGTGTCTGGCGTAATTTTATTGCATCCACAATGCTCTTTTTATTGCAAGAATTTTTTTTTTTAAGAACGTCTGGTAAAATCCGGTCTATCCGTAATGCTCTTTTTATTGCATCTGTAATGAACTTTTTGTTGGGTCTATAATGCTCTTTTTTTTTGCATACTCAATTAATGCTCTTTTTGCATCCTTAATTAATGCTCTTTTTTGCATCCTTAATTAATACTCTTTTTGTTGCAAGGGCTTTTTTCACGCATTTTATGTCTGCTAGACTCTTACATTACATACGCTTTTGTTCGCCAGCAGGAACAGTGATCAGGGATGATCCATACGCCTATTTCTGTGTTGGCTTGCCTATGTTCCTTTTGCAAACGTACTTAGACTTAGAGCTCAGCAGCACCCGTCCAGTAAGTCTTGCCACCCCCACCCCCTGCTACAACACATTCTTTGGAAGGCTGGAACACCCCCACACACACACACATTCCACCTTCTCAAACAACCACTTGTCAACAAATGTCAGAATTTCAAGGATTCCCTCTTCCAACCCACCCCGCAATAATTTTGTCACATAATTTTTTTTTTATTTAAAAAATAAAAAACTCTTCAAGACTCCAATCACACGAATATTGTATTAGTAGAGCATCGCTACCAGAAACGGTTTCCAGCTTAACATTCTAGACAGTGGCGTAGCGAGGTTGGTGTCACCCGGTGCGGTAAACTCATGGTGTCACCCAACTCCCAAGATGGATTTCTTCTTGGTAAAATAAGTCCAAAGTATAACAATGTCAAGAACAAAAACAAATTAAGTGAAGGTTATGATGTAAATATATATAAGAACTGTAACAACGTTAAGTTATTTTTACATTAAATTTACTTCATTTAAATTTCTTTTTCCTGGTATTCAACTTAAGATGCAAACCTGCCATCACTTGAACAAAATCAATCAATGTCCTTCACCGCATCACTTTCAATTGATAGTAATAGTTGAGCCAGATAAGAAAGATTGACTTTCCCATGGAGTGTCGTAAATAGTTCTTGATTAGTTTCTGACAGCTCTACTCAATTGAAGGCACAGCCACACAGATCGTAATAAACATTTGAAGGCTTAGCCCGAGTTCTGGAAGAGGTTCTAGGGAGTCCCATTCAGCTATGAATTTCAAAACATCAAATACTTTCAAAACCACGACTTTGTGAAATTCAACATCAGCTGCCTTTAGATGTCTTCTAGGCCTTGGTTTTTCTTTTAAAAGTTCATCCTCTGATAACTAATTTTAAAATAAGAGGTTAACTTTGGAACGGACACCAATAACTCTTCTTCACTTTCTGAGAGTAGACACTTGGGTTTGAACAGCCTCAAACATAAAAAATAATATCTGCTACTTCCTTGATCGCTGATGATCTGCTCAGGAGTTCAGTGTGAAAACATTCAATACACTCCAGCATCTCCATACTGTTTTCTTCTCACAGAGAGAGTCTAGCATCTATTAATTGTTCTCCTGCCATTTTCTTCTTAAACCTTAATCTTCTCTGTACCGAAATTCCATAATGGTCTGATCTTAAAAATGCCTTTTCAATAGCATGTTCTACCAAGTTACAGTGCTTCTCTTGTGCAATCTTAAAGTTAAAACCTCTAGGTTGGTCACCACTTTGTCAAGAATAAAGCCTTTAGTCTGCAGATACTGCTGTGTAAAATTAACTTCCTCAAGTAGATCAGACCAAAGTTAAAGGTAGCAGAGAAACGTGAAAACACAGACAGCGTGTGCTGCATGAAAATCGTGCGCAAATTTAAAGGGGGGGGGGGGGCTGCTATTGAGGAATCGGAGAAAATATTACTTTTTGAGTATTTCTTGGTTTTGAGGGGTATGGTTTCAAAACTTCTATTTCATTAATTTAAATTAATTACTAAAAGATTATATTAGTAGGTACTCCAAACCAATTTTTCAAAATAAACCAGTACAATTTTTTAGTATTTAAGATTCAAGTTCTAAGAATTCTAAGAATGTGGACATTAAATGTATGACTTTATGACCATTATTAAGAAAGTTATCCTATTTTTTTTACATTTCTCGGGTTACTTTTTATGAAATGACAAAGACTCATATTCATGAGTCATTATCTTAAAATGTATGTGACCTGCATTAATTTCCTTTACAATATTTACACATTACTATACAGAAAACAAACACATTTTTGTTCAAGAGTATGGAAAATCAAACTTTTGTAATTTATTGTCGTAAAGATGGCATTTTGTAAAATTTTCAAATTTTACCAAGGGAGGGGAAAAATCACAAAAATTGCCTATTTTTAAAATTTCACCAAAAATTATCTAATTTACTCATAAACAACATTTATAATATTTATATATCAATTTAAAAGAGAATCAAAGATCTATACAAGTATCTATACAAGAATTCTATAGAACGATACAAATTTGACAAATAGCAAAATAGTCAAGGGGTGGTAATTTATTTCACACTTTTTACACATTTTTCAAAATATACAAAAAAATAATAAATAACATCCTATATGTTTGAAATCACTTAGGAATTGCTCAAACGCTGCTAGTTACGAATCGGTGAAAATATTATTTTTTTTAGTATTTCTTGGTTTCGAGAAGTTTGGTTTTAAAACCTCTTTTAATTAAATTTAAATTAATTACTAAAAGTTATTTAGAAAATTTTGTAAAATATTATTTTGTTAACCCTATAAATGGGTAAGTAAAAAGTCATTTTTTAAAAAATGATTTTGATTTTTACCAATTCATTTCATGTACTTATAATCGCTCGACCATATCGTATTTTGGTATCAATGGAAAGCTTTATTTCTCAGAATTTAGATAAATTCATAAATGAGCCAAGGGGACTAACTCATTTTTTTTCAAAATATCGACTTAGCAGGGTTTGCAATTGGACTCCTCAATATAGCTTCCTGTCACTTACGAAAGTTACCGAACACTTCAATCGGCGTTAAATCACGGTCAAATCGGTGATTCTTCTTACCTAATTAAAGGGTCAACTTATTTCGGACGCATCAACCTTGAACTTTTAATACAGCTTGCATTTGGATTGGTTACATGTGTGGAAAATTTACTTGTGATCGGTTATCCTTTTATGAAATTCGTTTAGAGGAGCATATAAATATATATTTTAAATTATGAATAGAAGACATCTAACTAACCTGATGAAAACTTTTTATCTGAAAAAAAGGGGGGGAGGGGGTGTTTTGAAATCGGGAGAGAGTGCATTCATTAGATGTTGTTGTTTTTTTTAATTGAGAGAGGTTGTGGCGCTGCAAAAAAGGTTAAGAACCATTGATAAAGAGTGAGTAAATTACAGATACATAGCCATACGGATATTTGCATCTTTTACGTCTTCTATATATTAAAGGCCCACGATCAATGTATTGATCATTGTGGCTCCTATGTATGTAGAGGGATTTGGGCAATCTTCCGAAGTTCGGTCCCAAATTATTTCCAATGATTACTCCTTACTTAAAAGTATTAGGCTTCATTTTGTTTTGAAATTCATGTTTGCGTAGTGGATGATGTTGGATGGAGGTTGTTGGCCGTCGAGATGCACAAATAGTCAGCGCATTATCACTAATCATTGTGTTACGAGGGACAACTATCGTCACGGACGCTTGGCGAGGATATCAAAATGTCGCTCAGCTCAACAACGGGTTTTTATGCTCACGCTGTCACCGTGCACGCACGTGAATTTGTTGATCCAGTAGACCAGGACATTCACACATAAACTATTGAAGAACTTTGGATGTAGGCGAAACGTAAACTCCGCTACCAGAGTGGTACAAGTCGCGGTCTGTTTGCCAGCTACTTGGGGGCCTTTCAGTGGTGCAAGCAGAACGTTTTCGGCTGTTATTTGCAGGTGCTTTTCGCGATTTACAATATTTAGTATTTACTGACTGGTTTGTAAAGTGGCAGCTATTTGCAAAAGCTATGACTGACATTTCTGCTATTTTCTAACAATACACACTGTGCATTGCATTTTTTTTTCATACGAAATGATTTGGGACCGGACTTCGGAGGATTGCCGGGATTAGCAATGTTTCTGTGGCTGGTATTGAAGAGGATACTTCACTGGTTGCAAGGACTACTCAGCGAGGATATTAGGAACTGGGGTTTGGAAGGCCTGAGGCAATAGACACAAATGTGTCAGTGTTGTCGCCTCAACTGTTCATTTTGGAAGCTTGTTCCAGTCCTTGATTGTCTTTAGCAGGAATGAGCAGCTCCTTTACTGTTATGAGCCGGAACTGCCTGTCTTGGCCTCGTCGCTGTTTAAGAGGGGGGGGGGAGGACGAGTTTCTGTTGGACTTGTCCATTACATTAGTCATTATTTAGAACATTTGTCCTGAACTGAAATATATTTTTTTTAAAGCTTTTTCGTCGCTGTTTAAGTGGGGGGGGGGGGTACGAGTTTCTGTTGGACTTGTCCATTACATTAGTCATTATTTAGAACATTTGTCCTGAACTGAAATATATATTTTTTAAAGCTTTTATGCAATTATATTATATATATTTAATTAATTATTGTTTTAAAATTATTATTATTATTTTTTTAACATTATTTTTAATATATTTAAAAGTTATTGGCACTGCCACACAACCAACTAAGAACCCTTGCTCTAAAACAGCGGTTCTCAACCTGTGGGTCGCGACCCCGTTTGGGGTCGAACGACCCTTTCCCAGGGGTCACCACGGACCATCGGGAAACACATATTATTTATACCTTCAGCTATGAAGACCAACGAAAACAATTTTGTGGTAGGGGGTCGCCATATCATCAGGAACTGTATTAAATGGCCGCGGCATTTGGAAGGTTGAGAACCACTGCTCTAGAACAAGACGCTACATCACCATGGACACATACAATATTACGTTTCATTGGGCGTTTTCGTTTCTTGATCCAATCATAACCCTTCAACTTTGAACTGGAAGTAATTATTTACGCTTGCGTATCAACGCTTAAATTTTACATTCCACAAGTTGAAAATACTGAAGGTTTAAATGAAATCATTGTTATGTTCGAGTTGGAAGTGGATTTAAATTCAATGGAAAAGTAATCACATTCAGACACCGTGTTGAGTTGTTACTGATACATTGTTAACTCTTAAAAATGGTAAGCAGTTGAAACGTATGCTGTGCCTGTGCCGTGGTATGTTAAAGTTAAAATGTTAAGTTAAAGAAGTTAAAGTCTTTAAACCCCCATATCGCCTTCACTTTCTTTCACGAAAATGAACTTAAAAAACGTGCTTTTATTTTTTTTAAAGTTTTTGTTGGTCTAGTGCTAGCCTAATTTAAAAGAATAAAGATTTAATTTTAAAAGCTCTGGGTTATAACTAAGTAATTTGGCTATTACTATATTTACTATATTATTTTAGCCATGTTTTTTGCTATTAATAAGTATTAATTATCATTAAATTATAATTAAATTAATTAATAATTACTAATTACTAATAGATGATATTATTATTATTATTATTATTATTATATATTTATTTTTGAGGTAAAAAAACAAAAAAATCTACTAGGTCTGAGTTATAGTTATAATATAATTATTTTTATATTAAATTACACCAAAAAATACTGAATTTATTAATTATAGTTATGTTGGCCTATCAGTCAATGTCAATGTGTGCTAAGAATATTCATTATTGTAGGCCTACTTTACAGCCTACACACAATTTTTTAAGGTAATTTACCCTCTGATTCCCAACTAAAAACTTTTCAAGTTCATTTAAAATGTTTGATTTATTTTGTAAAATTGTTAACTTGAAACTACTTAGCATTATTCAGATGTTAAGGGATTCAAAAATTACGAATCAATTCTAATTCATAATTGACAGTGATAATATTAATAGCCATTTCTGGCATCTTGATAAAAAATAATTAACTTTTAATATGGCGACATTTTCGTCCCCACCCCAAGCAGCTTGAGAAGCACGTAACTTTTTTTGGAATTGTTAAAATTTAATAATATAAGAATGTTTAAACTTTTAATTTGAATGTAGTTTTACTTTATCTAGGTCCCATTTGACTTTTTTCACTAACAAAAGAGTATATTAATATTATTACATAATATGCTTACCTAATCCTAATGATAATCCTCTCCGTGACTCAGAAAATAAATCGTTGCGTAAATTTCCTAGAATCACCGGCACACAAAAACTGATATGTCACTGATGAGGAAAGCAATAATTTAATAAACAAAGGTGACGTAGTATGCAATTTCCAAAGATACTGTGTACCTGTACGCCATATTGTGGAACAAGTTTTTTCGACATTTTAGGACATGCGCAGAACAATGCGCCAAGAGGTTACAAAGTACCTAATGTATACAGTATAGCCTACTACTACTCAGGCTACTGCCACTGCACTGGTGGAACTGAAGCCTATATGACCCAGGGCCGGCGCTAAACATTTTAGGTTGGGTGAAAATAGGCAATTGTCACCCTCTGGAAAATTATGGGAAGAGTTCAGAAAATTGTTTTGGGGGATTTTAACAAATTTTGCCGCTTTCAGTGGTTTTGGGGCCCGAGGTGCCTGTGTGATTATCACGCATTCTACCCGCCCTGATATGACCTCACACCTCTTGGGGAGATGGGTCACATTTTTATGATGATGCATAGGGAGGGGGTGTTAAGCAATGTGATGTCACATTAAAAGTGGAACATTATTGAGAAACATTGCACTTAATTACAATAAATTAGAATTATTTTTAACATTAATATTTTATTTTTAAACTATGATCACTGAGAGAATCAGTACAGGTAAGCGATGACTGAAAAATGGCCTCTGATCATCAAGTTACTGAACGCCACGGAGGAGAAGAATCAGTTTTAGTGACATTGACAGTTGCGAGAAATTATGTCAAAATGTGGAGATGGGAACCATAGAAATAAGGCTACCTCATGGGATTGAACTAAAAAATGGTTGGGATGATTATTGATCCCCATAAAATATTTTATAAAAATAATTAAATAATTTAGTTATTGTAGTTTTATTTCGCTAATTAACTTTTTAGAAACGAGAAAAAAATACAAATACAAGTAATGCGCAAAAAACATTCACCAGCTGCTAAAAAAAATCCATAGACTGATTTTTTTAAAGGCATTGAAAACTAGCAATTGCAGCTAATACAATTTTCTGGGTCTTCTGCACCTCAGGGGGGGGGGTGTTAAAATCTGCAACAATTGCGACACTAGTTAGTAGTATAGTAACACCTCGCTATAATGCAGTAAATGGGGTCCAAGATATACAATTAGATTGCGTTTATAATGGGGCACTTTAATTCTTGGTTTATCAATATTCCAGAAATAGTGTTGGTATTTTTATTAAGTAGGATTATAGGTAACTTTGTTTAAAAAAAGGATTTATGGTTAGTGAGGTAGTTTTAATGGATTTTTGACACATGTGATTGCTTCGTTTGAGAAAATTAATTTTTGTTACTCTTTTACCTAGTTCAAAAAAAATATATATATATAACTAAATAAACTAAATTTTTGGAGCTATTTCGTGACCGCATTAGATCCAAATTAGCTTATTAGTGGGGCATGTTTCAGCAAGGGTCTATTGTTCTATCAGTATACTACCTTTGATTAATTCTTAAAAGGGCATGTTTTATTTTTTAGTTTTGTTAATAAGTCTAATTAGTTTTTAAATAATTGTAAATTTAATATTTTTTCAGATGCTCTCAAGAACTAAACCTGCCATTGGTCCAGGGGCAGGTACACCAGGAAAAGATGCAAAGAAAAAAAAGAAAATGCCAACGGTTGAGGAGTTTCTAGACATGAGAGATTACACTGGAGCTATTACACTTCTTGAAGTAAAAAGTGAATTTTTTTTTAAAATTTGAAGTTATATACTATTTAATTCCATTTTTATTAATAAGTATAACTTCAATAAAGTAACTTCAAAGTATAACTTCAATAAAGTAACTTCAAAGTATAACTTCAATAAATAAACTAGATAGGCAAATATTAATCCTAAAATATTAATCTCTTTCACCAAAAAAAAAAGATAATATTTATTTTTTTTTTGTTGTGTTTTTAAGTTTAGTAGAAATTCTGGAAAAGGCAATGAAGAGACAGATATGTGGATTGCTTACTGTGCATTTCATTTGGGAGATTATAAGCGTGCTATGGAGGTATGATTGTTTAGTTATAAATTAATTTTTAATTAGTGTATTTTCAATAGAAAATAGGGTACCACGGAGTTACATGTGAGTAATGTTATGGACATATAATTTTTATGTATATCGGAAAGTGGTACTAGATATGTTTTGGTTATATACTCAGTTTTTATTTTTTTTTTAAAGAATAGCTAAATAGTTGTCATTTCAATTAAGCTTTTCTTTGTTTTAGATTGAACACTGAGCTAGAAGATGTCTTAAGGTATATCTCTTCATTTTATTGCTGATTGTTTCAGGAATATGAAAGACTCACAAAGAGACAGGGTGTGAGTCCAGATGTATGGTTGTACCTTGCTTGCTGTCAGTTCTTCCTTGGAATGTACCCACAAGCAGATGAAAATTGTGTCAAGTGTAAGCATTTAAATTTTAACATGCAATAAGACAGAGAAAATATGGTGTGAAATTTAAATCATTATATAATTTAACTACAGTTGAACCCACTTATCTCGACCTTGGTTTACTCGCCGAATCTGTTATGTTGACATTTTTGAAGTGGAGCTGCCAAATTCTCTCTTTATCTTAGCATTTTCTCCTCCGTTATGTCGATTCTTTTATCGTCGCTGAACCCTGATATCTCGAGAAAAAAAGGCATCCAAATTTGCCACTTAACCTCAGTTATCTCGCTCCCCATGACCAATCGCAGGCTTTTGAAAATTATATACAACAGAAATCTGCCTACTTCAAACTGTAGTAATTGAAATGAAATGACAATATCATTGTCCGCTTAATTTACTTGACACAGCAAGAAGCGAGGAGCAAGAGGCTTGCAAACAAAAGAGAGAGGTCTTAGTACCTGTTCTATTTATAGCGAACCACTTGTTGCATAATAGGCTTTTATGCGTTCTTACAGGTTGATTTTTTTAAAAACCTAGATTCCGTATTTGAATAAACTGAACTCGCGAATCCGGAGCTGAAAAATGTTAAGCCTCACGAAACCGTAATTCTGGGATAATCCGGAAAAGTAGTACCCCACATATACCTTGTGTTGTTAGCAAACATGTTTGAGTATTTACATTTTTTTAGCATGCCGATCACTTCATCAAACTAATCGCGGTAACGCTGTTGTGTAAAAAAATAACTCCAAAAACATGTGCATGTACATTCTCATTTATAAAGGCACATCGTCTACATAAAGAAATTTCAAGCACATGTTAATATATTGCAGCCATATTGGCTTTCGGTTATCTCGATCATCAGTTATCTCAACGCTTTTTGGCAAACAACGAGGCCGTTGACATAACTGGGTTCGACTGTACTTATTGAAAACTTTTTAAAAAAAATATTTCCAGGTCCTAAAAGTCGACTGCAAAACAGACTTCAGTTTCATTTATCCCACAAGTTTGGGGATGAACGACGTTTAATGAGCTTTCATCAGAACCTGCAAGACATCATTGAAGATCAATTATCCCTGGCATCAATACATTACTTGCGGAGTCACTACCAAGAGGCTATCGATATTTACAAGAGAATTCTATTAGATAACAGGTCTGTTAATGAAAGAAATAACTTCCACTATAAAATGACAAATAATAAAATAGTTATTTTTTTTTTTTATCTGTCACTAGGATATTATGTTGTAGACTTTGCAGGATGAAATTACAAAGCCAGGAATTTTTCTTTAGGAGGATAAGCTGGGTCCCCGGAGAGCAAATTTCATGTATATCAAGGATTATTATATATCACTTTGAATTCAAATTCAGTTTCAGGACTTCTTCTAGCGTTTAAATCATTTTGGAAAATTATTGAAAGGTAGGGCAAAAGCAAAACCTAAAATGACTTGAGAGGACACCCTGCTTTATTCCACCCCCTCCCCAAGTTAAAATGCCATCAATGTTACTATTGATGAAGAAGACACATCTGAAAAGATCTAGCTAGCTTTTCAAGCCACTCCTTCATAATGGGAAATCAGTTTAGTAAATCTTTTTAAAAATATCTGTAACAATTCCAACATAATGGTTTCCTATTCTCATTATTATATTTTGTTTTAGTGACAGCTTAAACTACCTTTTTTTTTTTTAAAGATTGAGTCTTCAAGCTATTGAATAGCCTGCCCTTTTTTAAAATTTCTGCTACTAGTGTGGGATCCAGATATAGACTACAATTCTTGATTCATTCATATTCTCTTGTTACTTTCTGCCACAGTCTCTCTGCATTCATTATCAAACCAGCCTACTCTACTGTTACTTTGCCCGAATCCTACTACTTTCTCTGCTGATCAATTTATAGCATTTTCATCCTATCCCACTGTTCATTTATGTTGTTTTCCCTGTTTTTATCCTCCTGTGCCGCTTCTTGCAGTGCTTCTACTTCTTATTGGTAAGCTTTTGCGGTTGGTGGGTCTTTGGTAAGGTTTTGGTAATAATATCGTTTTTCTTTTTGATTTTGGCCACTGTGAATTATGATTATTCTCTGCTTATATTTTAAACCTTACAAGTAGATGTTCAGAGTCTCCTCAATAGCTTCTTACTTCTTGTATATTTGATCCATACCTCCAATTGATTGTTCAGTTTGGTTTTTGAGTAATTCCATCTGGTGAGTTCCAAGTAACTTAACGTATATTTTATTGTGGAAACCTGGTGCTGCCAACTGTCAACCCTTTTCATTGAGTCGGATTCCATTGTAATTGTATTCTTCATGCAGACTCTCCTTGCCAATAGTAACAGTTGGCCTAAACACTTTTTCTTTCCCTATTTTGGCATTAAAGTCCCCAATCACTATTTGAATATCATGTTGTCATGCTTCATCATCAATCTTTTCCTGTGTTCATAATAGGATTCTTTTATCTGACCCTCTGTATCTTCAGTGGGAGCATGAACATTTATAAATGCTATATTAAACATGTTTCCTCATACACGCAAAGAGCACAATCGTTCATTCTCTGGTTAAAAAACTGCACTGACGGCTTCTTTCTTCACAGCAAATCCTGTTCCAAGAGTGTTAGTGTTGTTGCCAATATAAATTATGGTGTAGTTTTTTGTCTTGAGGATGTCTGCAGTTTTTTCATTGAATTTCTTGTAATGCAGCAATAGAGATCGATTAGGATGGCTAAGGCTCCTACTCTAAACTTGCTAAGTACGTTCAAAGTCGAAAGCTAAAAATCATGTCCTATTCGAGGCATGGGTCAATTTCCATTAGAATCAGTCCAGGGTTTTATTTTGTTGTTTGGCTTTCATAAAGTTTATTATTTTAAATTGGCCGGGTTGTTAGCCCTGTGCACAACCATCTGGGGGGCTGTACTTACAGCTCTCTAGGTAGCTGCCTTAATTTTTTTTGTAAAGGCTCCCAAGCCTTTGTGGATCCCTCCACCTCCTAAAAGTAAAAGGCAGTAGGTTCTGATTTTGGTCCACCTCTGGTATTTTATTTACCCAGTAGCCACATCTGGTGGGCTTTCCCCTATCCGCCACCTGGGGAGACGCTCAATGGAAGATCAATATTTTGGCACAATTTTAAATTTTAACAACCTTCTAAATTTGAAATAATCATTGTCCAGAGACCATCTAAGCCTGCTAATTTCTCACATGATCTAAGGGCACATGCCTCAATGGTTGCTGGATCAGACACAGGATACTGATGGTGTTTAAAAAAATAATTCTTCATAAAGATTCTAAATTTCATTCTGTGTTTAAAAAAAAAAAAATCACAATAATTAAAATATACTGCTTTAATGAAAAATTCTAATAGTAACATAAACTCATATTTCAGAGACTATTTAGCCCTGAACGTCTATGTGGCTCTTTGTTACTACAAGCTGGATTATTATGATGTCTCACAGGTCTGTGATTTTTCATAAGGATTAGTTGATATCAGAGGATGTCATGTTTGACTTTATTGGCCGGGATAAAGCAAAAGGATCATCACTTAATCTTAAAAAAAATAATGCAGTTTTGTTGATATTAATGTATAAATGTATAATTTTTAATCCCTTACAATTTTTTAATTTTGTCATCTAAAAAAGTTTTAACCTCTTTATGGAGTCTTAAAAATAGTATTATTAAAATAAACTTTTTTTCAAAATGTTTTATGAAATTTTTTAATGGTTTTAAAATTATTAGATTCTTAACTTCTATTTCTACAATTTTAAACCTGCTCATTTTATTATAAATTCATATTCTATAGAATGTTTTTCTTCAACATTTTATAATATTATAATTGCTTTAATTAATGGTGTTTAATTATATATTCCCAGGAAGTTTTGGCTGTCTACCTACAACAATATCAAGACAGCGCTGTGGCCCTCAATTTGAAAGCTTGCAATCACTTTAGGTTGTATAATGGAAAAGCTGCTGAGGTATCTTTAAAAAAAAAGTGAAGAGTGTCTGAAAATTCACTTTCCACTTCTTAGAATCCTTATTCTTACAGGCTTTTAACAAAGAGACTGGGATATATAATTGTTCAGTATCTCTAAAAATATAAATCTCACAAGTGTCTTGTTTGATGGCATGCATCTGAAATGTAACAGTTGGGACTGAGCTACAAACCATTCTTTTCTTTTCCTTTGAGAAGGAAGGCGGTTGGGTCAGCCAGGTCATTTTTGTCCGGGCCTCATTAGTGGCCTGAAAATGGTTAAGGGTTGTATAACTATTCAAATATTAGCTGCAGACACACAAAAATTCCCTTGAAGCTGGAATAAATGAAATAAATAGTTGAGTGTTATAATTTTACAATTTCTGTAACAAAAGTTCAGCTTTGTAAAAATCTATAAGTTAGTATAAGGGTCCTCAAAAAGCCTTGTGGTTCACGGCTCTAACAATCACTACAAGGCACTATGTACAATAACATTAAAGAACTTTAAAGTCTTGCAATCAGTTTATTGCATTTTTATACTTTTTACAACTAGAAACATCTTTCCCTCTCTTTCCTGTATTTTTTCTGGTGTTTTACAAGTAGTTAATACATAAAGTATTGGCTTATGTGACAATTTTTAAATTTATTAATGTGCAAATATATATTTTTTTTTCCTTAAGGCTGAATTGAAAGCCCTCCAGGAAATGGCTTCCCCTTCATTTCAGTTTGCCCAAGATCTCATTAAACACAATCAGGTTTGAAAATGATTTGATTTAATTATTAATAAATTCAACTGAACTTATTTCCAAATTTATGCAAAATTATCATTTTAATTATGTGTTTTTGTTTCCTTTTATAGCCATGAATCTAACCCTGTGTCATGTAGTATTGCTTGCAATTTTAGTTTTTCTATCAAAATCCATCACAGGATAATGCATTAATTAATAACAATTATAATTATGATAGTTATATTTTGCTGAAACAGGAGGCCTAAATATTTTCAATTTCAGTATAATTATTCAAATAAACATTCCAAGTATGCTCATCCTTTCCATAGGTCGTCTTTAGAAGTGGGGACGGTGCACTGCAAGTGTTGCCACCTCTTATTGATGTAATACCAGAAGCAAGGCTTAATTTAGTTATCTATTATCTAAAGCAAGGTAAGTAGTTATTTTATAATTTTTATTTAAAATTTATATTCCTTTTTTATTTTTGGTTCCTATTAAAAATCTTTAAATTTTACGAAAATTAATGTTATTTAAATATACAAAAAAAAAAAAAAATGCATTGAAGAGTTTTTATGATGTTTTTTACTTCCTCCTATTCTGGTGACACAATGTCAATGCTCCTATCCTCTTTAACACCTTCAATCCCCTGTTTAAGGACCAACCAGAATTCAGATAAAAATCTAAGCACAGCTCTTTTAAGTTCAGAAACACTTGTAGGGAAGCCACTAACAATGTGTGCTATAAAATACTTGCTTATATGTGTGTGAAATCTAAACATACACAATTACTTTTTTTAGAAAATTTTTTTAAAAAAAAAAAGTGGTAAAAAAAAAACCCCCCCCCCCCCCCCCATCAAAAACATGGGAAACTAATTCAACCTAGAATTATCATGCACAAAGTGACTAGAAATCATATGGAGTCATTTAAGAAGGTGTATATATTAAGTTAGCACAAAGTCCAACGTTTTCTGTACACCATCTGTACAGAAATTGTATTGCATAAGGACATGCTAAATAAACGGTAACTGTAAATCTGTTTCAGATGATGTACCAGAGGCTTATAACCTGATCAAAGACCTGGAACCTACAACACCACAAGAATATATTCTTAAAGGAGTTGTCAATGCTGCTCTGGGACAAGAACAAGGATCAGTGAGATTCACCAAAACCTATTAAATTCTAAATCCTTTGTTTTAGATAAAATAATAAATGCGGATAATTCCAATACAAAAAATAAATCTTTAAAAAATATTTTTTTAAAATATATTTATAAGAAATAAAAATTGGTAGAAAGAAGAATATTAATGGATTTTTGTGCAATAGAAGTTGAATTATTTACATATCTACTCAGAGAGAGCATATGAAGATAGCCCAGCAATACTTCCAGCTGGTGGGAGGCTCAGCCAGTGAGTGTGGTAAGTAAATCATATTTTGTTTCATATCTTTCACAGCTTTATTTAATAAAAGTTAAGTAACATACCTAACTTAAAATGTCTGTTTTCTTTTTGCAGATACTATCCCTGGTCGCCAGTGTATGGCATCATGTTTCTTCCTTCTGAAGCAGTTTGAAGATGTCCTTATTTATCTTAACTCCATCAAGGTGTGGTACACTTCTTGTGGTGCTTATTTAGCTCACTAAATAACCAGTAAACATCACATCAGCTTTTAGCCACTAAAGGGATATGCAATAATAAATAATATAGTGTTTAAAGCATTAGACACCGTTCTAGCTAAGGTCATGTTATTGTTCAATGTATTATGGAGTTTTCCAATTCGAAAAGTAGCTCTTAATGCCTTGTCTTATATAGGCATCATAAGTGGGGGGAAGGGGGGGGTTGTGTCAATCTAGGGTAAGGTATGGGAGACCGAATTAGCTATCTGTGGATTAAAAAATTTTAATGCACAGACCAACAAAGCGGGATCGCAGGTTCAAAGGGTTAATGTGAAATTTAATCAGTTTAATAGAGTGGCATGTCATAAATTGATATTTCTTTTGTTGTTTTTTTTTTTGCATTAAATTTCTAGTGCTGTAATACAAAAATATGTCATTCTTTTTATAGAGCTACTTTTACAATGATGACAATTTTAATTTCAACTATGCTCAAGCCAAAGCAGCTGTTGGCAACTTTAAAGAAGCAGAGGAGGTCAGTTGTGTAACACTTTATTTTAACTTAATAGTATTTTTGGTCTCTGTAAGGCTGTCTCTTTCAATGAAAGGCTTTAACTTAATAGTATTTTTGTTCTCTGTTAGTGTTAGGCTGTCTCTTTCAATGAAAGGCTTATTGATCAATGGTGGGACTGTTTTATAAAAAAGAAAAGTCTTACAAAACTTTTTTCTCCAGATTTTCTTGCTGATTCAGAGTGAAAAAACAAAAAATGATTATACATATCTCAGCTGGCTTGCACGAACCTGTAAGTTTTCACATCTTAATATAATTTTACTCACTTTCCTTAAAGATAACAGCCAGTGAGGTCTTAATATATTATTTATTATAAACAAATAAATGTAACTCTAATTTGAAAAGTAGTGGCCTCCCAAATATTTCATTTTAAATAATTAATTATATATTTATATTTTTAGACATCATGAATAGAAACGCTCGTCTGGCATGGGAGTTGTACTTAAAGATGGAGACATCAGGAGAATCCTTCAGCTTGTTACAGCTTATTGCAAATGATTGTTACAAGGTATTTCTTTTATCCTAAAAATGATCACCAATTTAAAGGGTATGCATGTAGCATTGAAAGTAGAAAACAATTGAGTTTCTTCAGAGGACATGGCATTATAAGCTTTTGCAAAACTGAAGTGGGCTGTAAATTGTTTTGTTTCAATTATTAACTCATTCCCGACGTTTGCGACTAAATGCGTCTTTTACGGGTTTCGCCGGATGCGTCCAAATGCGTCCCGGCGCATAGCGACACACCTCTCTCATATCTATTTAAAAATAGCAATGAAATCTCGCATCCCTCGAGACTTCCGGTGATGGCGTGGTTCAGCGTGATTTTAATTTAAAAACCGGAAGTTTTCATCTTGTTTCACTTTAAAACTACATGTGCTTTAGTACGGCGCGTCTACATGTAGCATGTGTTCGTCCGAGGTGCCGAAAATCAATTTTTTGGTCATTGTTCGTTATTTTTTCCCCGCTGTTATATTTATATTAAACCTCATTCATTTTTTGTTGCATTTGTTCTTAATTCATTAACATTAAATAATATTTAGTAGCTTAAATATATATTTAAAAAATGTAAACAATTTCAAAACCGGGTTGCTTCCCTTTCTCAGGCAAATAAATTAAATACTGAAGTAGCATTGCAGGAGGGAATGAGTTAATACAACTCTTCCATTGGTGCTCCTTACACAGATTACTTCTAAACTGTTTAGAGTTTATACAAAGAAATAATTTATTATTTTGTTGCTTACATTCCCCAGATGGGCCAGTTTTATTATGCAGCAAAGGCTTTTGATGTGCTGGAGAGACTTGATCCAAATCCTGAATACTGGGAGGGCAAGAGGGGTGCCTGTGTGGGTGTATTTCAGTTGATCATTGCTGGCAGTGAGCAAAGGTACATGTTTTATGATATGCTGGCATTGACTTTGGTATGGTCAATCTTTTTTTCTGAAATACTCATTTAATCTATCAAAATTAGGTGGACACATGCTTTACCTATTATGTAATTTTAGTTAAGTATATTGTGACATTTTGAATCAAAAGCAGCTAAAGATATGGGAGCTTATCAACCAATACCTTCCATCATTTACCACAATTTGGTGAGGATGTTCGGCGGTAACCATATTCCTTCCAAATTGTAGGTAAATTACTCACTTTAGATGTATATTACATACAACCAATAAAAACTTGAACTGGAATGATTCACATCAGATCATGGTGCGTTGAGAATTCAGCAGGCATGATACAGCTTTTCACCAGTGTAGCAGCTTTTATAAATTATTTGACAAATTACCATAAAGAGTTTCATTTCATTTTGAGGGGTTCAATTTAGATTAAAGTATGTCAGTTGTGTCTAATAGGAGCTCCTTGCATATTTTGGTGAAACTAAGACCCCATTTAGAGGCATAGAAGATGGCAGACACATCCTATTAAGTGATAAAACAAATTATGAGAGTTTGACTCCCCACTTATTCAGAGATAAAATGTATATGCTTAAAAATTATTTCTGCTAAAAAGTTAAGAATTAAGAACTGGCTTATAATTGCGAGCATTTATATAAATTTGCAGGGAAAAACTTCTTGAAATAATCCAAATTCTACTGAATAGTCGATACCCTCAGGTAGAAGAGATGATATGTGCTTTCAGAAAATGGGGGTGTGAAAATACGCTGATGATGTGATATTAAGTGTGAGATATATTGACGTTTCAATTTTGTTCTCATTATTTGTTTAACTATTATATGTGAATTCCATAAATGTTTTTGCAACTCTTGATAGACAATGAATATGGCATATATAAATGTGCCCTCATAAAGAAGTCATTAAATAATATCCGAATTTCTTATCAAGTTTTATTATTATTATTTATTTTTTCGCATTTCATTGTATTTCAATTTATTCTTATATTTTTCTAAAACTGGCACATAATTTACTAGAGTTTTAATTTAAGTTTATATTCGTATATATTAAGTTATATACTGGATTATTTGATAACTTCTCATCTTAGAAATATTTTTAGTTTTTTTTACTAGAAATTCAGCTAACTTAATTGTTTCAATCAGGAATAAAAATGAAACTCCAAACTGCCATATTGATCAATTGTTCATTTGCCCAGCATGAGTTGTGTGCCCTGCTGTTTACCTTTTCAACACTTCTTCTAATGCACACCCTATAACACATATTCCAATGAGTGAATAGCATCCCCTTAAACTTAAAAAGTCAAACTGGTCATGAGGAAAAAAGCAATGTTGTACTCTCCATGTCATTTATGTAGTACTTTAACTAAAGTATTTCATGGAATACAACATTGAAAATTCCTTAATTAATTGTCTATTTGATTTATGTTTGTAATATTTCCATTTGAAAAAATATATATGTATGCTGTAGACCCATTAATTTGCAACATATTTTTAGTTTCTTATTTTTTCAGTCAACTTTGCATTGCTGAATTATTATAAATAATTCTTCTCACAGAGAAACCCTAAGAGATATCATCAACATGCTGAGAAATACCAGTAATCCACAGGTGGAGTACATCATACGCACAATGAAGAAATGGGCAAAAGATAACATGGTATCCGTGCCATAATAAGCTTGATCTGAGACAGTTGCAACTGTGATTATTTTGACCTTTTTTAAGTTATGAAATAAATTGTTTACTATTGCAATATAAATGCTTGGAGAGAAAAAAACACCCCACTTCATGAAATGACCTTAAAGTTATGACTTGCGTATTTTAAGTTTTAATTAAATGTGGTCTATCAACTAGCTGAGTTATTAGTAACTCTTAAATGCAATGAAATTTTAGCTTGAAAAAATACTATTTAAGATAAATTTATCTTAAATCGACAACTTAAATTTTTTTACCCCATTATGAAAGGGTAATTTGAAGGCAATTTAATCTTTATTCTTGGCACTTTTTTACCATGCAAGTTACAAAATAGAACACAATTGATAGCAGCTTAGTTTTATGCCCTTAAATTTTGATTGTGAAAATTACCAGATTTCTTATGTAATTACCACATTGCTGGGAACCTATTTGCAATAATTGTGTCCAGCCTTTGGTCATGTAATTACTGTTTTTGATAACAGAATATCTATTGTCATCAGTAGAAAATTGCTTTTAAATAAGATAAAGAACTTTTTGAATTGGTTCCTTCAATTATTTTAATGAGCCCATTAGACTCACAAAAAACTGTGCCTGTCTTTAGTAACATAATTTATTATTACATGTTGTCAGAATTTTAAGGAAATTCATAGGACCAATCAATACACCACCTCACAAAGTTTGCAGCTTTCATTCAGAATTTTTCACCTGATTCTGATGTGGCGGTTATTTTTTTTTTTGGTAAAAAATTGTCTCACGTGAATGAAAGGGACTTTCTCATTTATAATTTTTTATAGCTGTCATTTATTCCTTACCGGTATCTTAAAACTATTTTTTTGGTTGTTTGATATGTTTATCTGGCAAAGTTGAGTGTTTGTAGCAAAGAGAAATATAACAACAGATCTGTCAAAAGTTTAGTATTTAAAGAGAAATATAACAAAAGATCAGTTGAATTGATGTTTTCTATTTTATAGGTTGATTAGTTTTTAAAATTTCAACCCAAAATGTTTCAGTCGTGGGGCTGTGGTTTTTGTAATGGTAACATATGAGCTCTTGAATTCAGTTTCAGAGCCTATTATCTTGTAATGGTAACCATGTGAGCTCTTCAATTCAGAGCCTAGTATAAATACAAAATTATGAAATCTAAGCTATTAACTTAAAGGTGATATGTTGCCTCTCATTTTAATGGGGGTTTTTTGGGTTAATTTGAGCTAATCCTGAAGACTTCATCCAGGGACTGAGATTATTTACAGGCTTAACTTTTCTAAATGTATTAATTAATGAGTAATAACAATTAAATTCATTTAATGGGGGCATTCCTTTCTCAAAATTTGATGGAATTTGTTTTTTGTCTTTTTCCATATTGAAGAAAATGGTTTCATCAAAAAATATTTAAATATAATGTCAAATTTCCATGAGAAGTTGTTACATACTGAAGTTGTTACCTACTGTGTCACTTCTGTTTACTTTGAATTATAGATTTAATGAAATGGTCATATTGTCTCAAATTTTTTCTTTATATTAGAGGCAAAATTCATACAATTTTATATCACATTACACATCTCTTCAGACAGCTGTGCCAATCTATCAGCCCAAAGTCGAATGGCAAAAAAAGACAAATGGACAATCCATCTGCCCAATAATAAAAGCCTCTAGATTGGCTGGCTGGTTTTTGTACCAGTTAATCAGATTGCTTCTCGCACTCCTTGCTCATCTCGCCATTTTAATGTTGAGATTTTCTGTTGGATTCTTAAAGATTGTATTAGTACATTCAATTCCCTATAAGAATATATATACATTGGTAAGGTAATTTTTTTTTTTGCAAAGTGAAGGGTATGTAAAAAAAAAAAGGCTCTATCTTGTTGGCATCGACTGTCCAAAAACATTCCGTCTCAAGAGGGTTAATTTAGGGTTTAAGCTGACTTCTTAAAAGATAGCTCCCTGAGTTCATTGTGAGAAAAGATTCTAATTTACTTCTAGGACATCTGTTGTTGCTTTTTTTTACATGCTCTATTAGCAACTTAATATTTACCCTTAAATACAAAGACTTGTACTATAACAATTTTGTAAATCAAAAATATTTTTTTAGATATGCACCAATTTTCAAAAGTGTAAATAAATCTCTTTAAAATATTATTTGGTTTTATAGTGAATCTGTTTTAAATAAACTTAAGTATAAATCTTACTTCATCAGGTTCTTTGTGTATATGAAAATAAAAAACAATTTGGATGGTATGGTACAATATTTATATTATTTATCTGTCATGGTCACAATAAAACACATTAAAAACAGGTAACAGTTAGATGAAACATAATAACATATTTACAGATTTTTTTGACCAAATAAATAATTGATAAAAAGGATGCAGGCTGAATTTCATGTTGTGAACAAGGTTGGGCTCCAATAACAAAAAATCCATTTAACAGCTCTAAGAAATATTTTGAAAAGTGAAACAAACTTATTTTTACCAGGAAATATATTTCAATAAGAGAAATCTATAATTATTTTATACTACTATTATGTAACCTTGAAACTCTTTTGTAAAGCATTGATTTAGATTATTTTTTAAGACTTTCAATTATTTTTTCATCATAACTTTACTCATAAAAAGCTAGCAATTCTAATGAAAATTTACATCTTCAGCAAATCCATTTAACAGCTCTAAGAAATATTTTGAAAAGTGAAACAAACTTATTTTTACCAGGAAATATATTTCAATAAGAGAAATCTATAATTATTTTATACTACTACTCTGTAACCTTGAAACTCTTTTGTAAAGCATTGATTTAGATTATTTTAAGACTTTCAATTATTTTTTCATCATAGCTTTACTCATAAAAAGCTAGCAATTCTAATGAAAATTTACATCTTCAGCAACTAAAAATTAACTTAAAATGGAGAATTCATCCCCAGTTTGGTATCAAAGTCCAGACGAGCTCGTCGCTGTCGTCGTACAGCCAACCTGGAGACAAAATAGTCCTCATTTATTTAAATAGACAAATATCTATAATTTAAGTCAGTTTGACCTGTATATCTAAAGACATTTCCTCTTAATCCCATTATTAAACTATCTTTATAACTCCTATGGATTCATGATAAATAGACACTTTTATTTGGTTTCATTAAACTGAAACTGCTTAACATTGTTAAGATTTATAGTCTTATACCTACATTGCTGATACCACATATTGTCTCTTAATACTCTTATGTCCCTGAAATGTTTAGTCTTCCTATCTTAACTCAGATACCACATATTGTCTATAGGTCACTGGACAAACCAACTTTAAACTGACATTGAGCCACTGATTGGTTTATTAGCAAATGGTAGTACGCTGTAAAGTTAATGTAGTTATGTCACTGATGTGGCACAGCAGAGCAGACGGAGCTTTGAATTAGTATAATTTAATTGAGCTTACTTGATTTCTCTCTTCTTGGCCAACTCATTGAGTGATATTGTGATGAAAGGCCAGACACAGCCCAACACCCAAACTGTGGGCTCCACTTTAGAAAGAGACAGTGGTAAGCCAAAGAGGCAGTGCCTCATGTACACATCAGCAACACAGAAGATCACTTGTGTCACTAACCTGTATCCAGTGTACAGAAATATATGGTCAAATACAGCAAAAGTGAAATCTTTTTATGTTTACAAGTCAAAATCTAATTAATTATATTCTACTTGTATTAGTAATTGAAAAATGGTTGTGACTTAAGTGTTATCTCATCTGTGTACTAAAGAAGGTCTGTTAGCAACTTGTCATGTAAAGCCATAGATTTTATTTTGAATTTAATCGATCTTGTAAAATGATTACTTACAAACCTCCTGCTGTCACTGACCAAACCAAATTTTTGAATGGCAATCTCTGCCATAGATGATCTTGCCAATGGACTAAGCTCATAGAAATAGCAACTGTTCAAAAATTGAATGTGTAAGAAAAAAAACAAGTTACAAACCTATCTATAACTCAAGACAATATTCTGCACATTTTGAAAATTATGGGTTAGCTTTGATATTGCTAACAGCTTCACGTTTCAAGTTTTTTTTCAACCTTAGTTATGATGGTAGTAGGAATAAGAAAAAAGTGCATTTTATGATGAATAAAGATGTTATAGCTTAATAATTATAAATTGCACATTTGTATACCTACCACTTTCAAGTGAGTCTCACTAAAATGAAATATTTCATACCCAGATATATCACAAAGTACAGGAGGAATATATTCTGTGCCAGCACAAGACCACCTTGAAATTTTTGACTCCATGACCTTTGGTAGGTCTCATTACTACTTTCATTGGATCTGTGATGAAGAAAAAAATAAATAAATCGAGACCTTTCACAAAACTTTGGTCAACATTCTTTAAACCCCACACAGAATACAGAAAGTGACTACAGACTATTTTTAAATACAATTCCTTTATTGTTAACAATATTTCGCAAAATCAAACAAAAATATAAAGCCACCTAAAATATTATCCTTCAACTTTACAGACATAAACAAAATAGTTTTGGTTCAAAAGTCGCTCAATATCATTCTGAAGCAAATGTGATTAATGAATTTTTATCCCTTGAACTGATGTTAAATAAAATGTTCAAATTAAAAATTAGCCTTTCGTTCTTTGCATCTTACGTTTTGTATTGTCTGTAAACATTTTTTCAAATTAAAATATTGTTTTAAAATGGCAAATAAAAATTCTTGAACTGAAACAAAACATTTTTTAAAAAATATATAATATGACACATACCTGAAGTCATATAGTGAACACTTGACAGTTGACACATTCACACAAAATGAATGTAAAATTAATGCAAAGCTAATCACAGCAATGATGATAGATGGTAGAAAACGTGTACAGAACTGTACAAAAAACTCCACAATCATCTGGAAAACAAATTATATCTTGTTTATACTTCCCTGCAGTCTTGCAGAGGTCTTGAACAATTCAATATAGAAAAATACTAACGACCGGTACTAGTCTAGTAAGAAAAAAGGATGTTACTGTTAGTAATTAAAAATAAAGAATTTTTTTTTTTTTACATTTTGGTAAAATTAAATATAGTTATAATGGATTTTATATATTTATTATTTATCATCATTTACAAATACATTAACACTTATTAATTTTTAGTTTCAAATCTTGCAGGAACATTTTTTAAAATCATTATTTAGATTTACCCAAAGGCTCTAAGCTCACTAACTTTGCCAAGTTTTAAAAAAATTTTTTTTAGACTCACCTGTTTATTTACATGATTGATATTTTTGTGAGTGGCCAGCCCCATTGTGCGTGCTTCATTGGGGTTTCCCAAAAGCGACAGGCTAAGTGCAGGTACCACCACCAACACAAGCCATATCACATGCTGCACCGCCATGACAGGGGGCAGAAGGAATAAACAGCACACCAGTTGTGACAGCACCACAGCCAAAAGACAGCACAGCATCAAGTAGAAGCAGTTCCTCATGGCAAAGATGTAATGTCTGGACTGTAAAGGGTGGATAACCAGGGGAAAGTAGGTACAAATATCAAGTAACGGCATACGAATCGAAAAACTCTTAAAGTAGGTAAAAGTTAAATACAGTAAGTTGGAATCCAGTAATTGAAGTTAGAACATTTCTATACTTAACAAAAATTAGATCAACCTTTTATAAATTGCTCTGAAAAGAAAAAAAGAAAATACAATTGTGATAGCTTCATGTAAACTATATTGATAAAGTAATATAGTGGAACCTCAAATAATAAACTTAATCCTTACAGTGACTCTATTCGCAAACCAAGATTTTCAATAACCGAAATAATTTTCCCCATTGTAATACATTATTAAGTGTTATGCAATGAAAAATATAGAATTAAATTAAAATGCCCTTTTTTTCCGCGTCACAATGTGAAGATGGTGTAGACTTCGCAGGACGAAATCCACAAGGCCTGGGATTATTCTTTTTAGGAATTTAAGCTGGTTCCCACACAGCCAAATGCCTCTCTCCATGCCACTGGATGACCCAAGGGAACATCATGTGGATGATACAGCTTGGCACCAGTGGAGTAGCAGGAGTTGTCAGAATGCTTCATTTTGCCAATGTTATCCGCCTACGGGACTCCAACTCTGGGTTTGAATTCATAGTTTCATTCTCTTAGATGATCTGCCATCCAAGGTTAACGAGTCTAATACAACCGGTATGCTGGTGATTTTTTTGCTTGACTGGGCTTTAGTGGGTATTGAATTCTAGACCGCGAACTTGAGATTGACTCAGTCTAGACCACTCAGCCCTTAATTTTAGACATATAAGACTTCCAATAAATAAAAATAGTACTGTAGTTGATATTGTTTGTTGATAGTTGCTGGCACAGGTAGATGGCCGAGGAGGAGATGGATGGCAGAGGTGGATGGCAGAGGTGGATGGCAGAGTTGGATGGCAGAGGTGGAGGAGAAAGCTAATAATACCACATTAAAGTGGAATCCCCTTCCATAAAAACACTGGGCAACTCTGATTCAGGTTTTTTTTTCGTTATCTGTAACTTTTTAGTTGGTTCCCTTCTTTAAGCAGAAGAAAGCCTTCTAAATTAAATTGTCATTTTCTTTGCTGCAGAATTTTACGGAAATGCGACATCCCATTGTCATTCAAAATGATTTCTTTTTTTCTACTTCCGAACTTACAAGATCCCTTTTAATAACGTTTTCCTTTTTATGCAGCAGAATGAGGGCTAAAATACTGGTAACATAAAAATTGCACAAATAAAAAATGTAGTGTTTTTGACACAGCACTTGGACTTGTTTACTGCTAATGCACCAAAGCACTAATGGGCTGGTGGGATTGTGTCTACGGGTGTAAGCTATATTTTATCAATTGAGACAAATGTTTACGATACTTGTTAGTTAAACTATTTGTTCTTTAACTGGGGTGTTCGTTATGTGAGGTTTCACCTGTACTTTCTAGCAATGTTTATATAAAATAAAATTACCTCCATTATTAGCTGAACTAATTTGATGTTATCCTCCCTATGAAAAAATAGTGGGCAAGGCAGAGACAGAAGTCTAGAAGCCAGTTCAATGGGAGACGGCTCGTCCTCGTTCCATAAATGAGGCATGATAGTGTGGCGAGCACACAGTTGTGGAAACAATGGCTCTATGGCTATACTAAATAACAAGAAAGAAAAGCAAAAATTAACTTCATGACTTATTTCCTGGGACTATTAGGTCACATTATGATTTTACACATTATGTGACTGTGCCCTATAAGGATATTTCTTAATAAATCAAAATAAAATTGAAAAATATAAACAAATAAATAGCAGGGTGGACTCCTGTTCTCTAAAGCAAATTTAAATAGGGTAGTCTTCCTAAACACATTTAAATTGCAGACATACTATTAAAAAAATGTCAAAAAATGGTACCTGCAGTCTGCTTGCATGAAGATTGGAGTGTTCACCATGTTAAGGGAACTACCAACAACGAGGACAACTTCACCATTTTCCTGCATGATCTTCACCATCTCACAAGTTGCTAAATCAAAGTTATACAGAGAATTAATGATTTTGTCAATGACAAAAATAAGCTAATGTCAAATGTGGCTCAGGATGTACATTTTTTATTTCTTTTTTGTTGCACTTTTTAATTTAAAAAATAAGAATGAAAAAGAACAAATTAAAATTAGGTAGAAAAGAAGACAACCCCCACCCAAATATTTTTTTTTAGACATTAACAATATTTTAAGTTAAATTTTTTAGATCTTGTCTTTCCACTGAAAACCACACCAATAGAATTTATTCCTCAAGGGCAAGGATGTCTTGAAACCAGTGACAGGATTTTTTTTCCCCAAATTAAAAATGGGAAAGATAATTTTATGACTACCTTTCTTGAATATTTGGATTCATGAAGCATAAAATCTCTTTCATAACAAACATTTATCATACAAATCATTAAAAAAAATTGTTAACTTACAAACAACAATCTAGATAGAACTGACAACAGTCTTTGTTGAAATTACATTTTAACAAATAAAAGCTATCAAAATTATGACCAAAAAGTGATCAAGCCAAGGATGAAATTTGAGATTATTAGATTTTTATGAAGTCCTCACAATGACTTGATGTACTTTACCCATAAGTCTTTATTGTCTCAAATATTGTGAGTGGAAACATATAACAGTAAGTCAAAGTTGTCAGACACATGAAAAAAAGAGAGACAGAGGAAGAAAGAAGCTTAAATGGCCATAGGGAGAGGGAGCATGAATGGGGAAAATTGTCCTGAGCCAAGAGGGTAAACCCCAGAATATCAAGAATTTCCACCTACCTTCAGGCACACAATCGGTAAAAAGATTAACCAGCAATGGGACATTGTCAACATTTTTTAGGTGTGGACGTATGTTTTCAATACCTCTTGGAAGATGCGCCTTGAAAAAAAAAACGTTTAACAGCTTTAATTATGATGTTTAAGGATTTATTATTTTTGAAAAAAGTATAATTTTAGTTGGAATCAGGAGCCTGTGTGAATGGGAAAGTTATAGAATGATTATCTGCAGGGAATAAAACAAGCAACAAAAAACAACACCAGAAAACAGATTTGGGATATTGTAATAGTCCTTCCCTATGCTCACAGCTTTCACAGATCTGAAATAACTAAATCAAACTGAGACTTATTTTAATATACCTAATACAAGCTCACAGCTTTTACAGATCTTAGTAAACCAAATCAAACTGAGACTTCTTTTAATTTACCTAATACAAGCTCACAGCTTTTACAGATCTTAGTAAATCTAACTGAGACTTCTTTTAATATACCTAATACAAGCTCACAGCTTTTATAGATCTTAGTAAACCAAATCAAACTGAGATTTGCATCTGTAACTGACTCAGCCTTTTTTTTCTTTGTGTGTGTGTGTGAGGGGGGGGGGGTGTTAAACACTTTTCTTACTCTTAGCAAAAATCATTTTCTTAAATCTCTAGTTACCGATTAAATGAAACTATGGCAAAAAAACACTTAACTCAAAGTTGAAATGGGAACAAACATATTATGGGTAAATTTCTAGTATTCAAATGTTCCAATTGCAAAAACAGAGTATAAAGACTTTGCCTGGCATAATATTGCAACTTATATTACAATTTATATTTCAATTTATAGAGACATAACATTGCATTTAGCATTTTAATTACTGGTTCTTCATAAATTTAGCTCAACAAATACTTTTAAAAATCAGAACCGAAAATTTTGAGCTATAAAAATATAAATATCATCTATGATAATCTTTTTTCAATGTTCCATTTGTTAAATATTGAATTATGCTATCAATTTTCCCCATGCTTGAGTGTAATCATAATGTCAATTACTGCAGAAGCGCTACATAAATCTTGACACCATTGGTAAAATGATTCCTCAACGTGATGTTTCAGTTTTGGCCTGTATGGTCCTGCATCATGCATTTTCCAGCATAAAAGATGCATATCATTCAAAAACATTACTATCAGCGTTATATAGGCAAGCAGTAAGCAAAAGTGAAAATAATTGTAATTTCGTAAGGTCTAAGCCAAGATTCATATAACTTTTTTAACATTTTACTGATAAAGCAATAAGTCCTTTTGGCATTTTGAAAAGAAATAATCTTATTTGTATTGTATCCAATATTTGCTGCAATGCATGGATCCATAAATGGCAGAATGAGCTGGTTAGTTAAAATTACTATTCCTTCTATTACGCTTACAATAACTGCTTATTTCAAAAGATATTCTTGTTTAAGACTGGACAGGGAAAACCTTTAAATCTTTATGTATAACATCTTAAAAGGCTGCTTTGGAATAATTAAAATTATAAATGAGCAGGACATATCACAAAAGCATATAATTTTTTTAATAAATGAAGACCTGTCGGTTAGTAGACCTATATTACATTCAATAATTTAGTTAGGCACATGCAATAGGACAATCATAATTTCAAATTTTCTGTAAATAGAGTTTAACTGCATGCCTTCCAAGCTTTTAACAGATGACAGCTTAGTAAGGAATATGAACAAGAATTCTTAAGTGAGTTTTGCTGACTTTAAGATTAAATTATTTGAAGCCAATGGCTAAATCTGTCATTTCTCCATTAAGGTTTTATAACATTTGTCTTTTAGTAAAAGTACTAATCATTGATTATTTCATATAAATTGATAAAAATTAACTTCCATTAAGAACATGAAATGTGATAACAAAAAAAAAAAATGTAAATAATTTTGTTAAAAATGTCCCAACTGGCATTAAGTAGGCTTACTCTGTTTATAGATAATATATGGGAGACAGCATAAGTAATTTTTTTTTTTATTTACTGTTATCACATTTTTGTTATCATTTAAATTTGCTTTGTTTTTTTTAGACAATTATTGAAGTGTTTAGAAATGTTAGTTGGATTATTAATTATGAAATTGGACAAGCAGTCACAGTTGCCATTAGGCATTATGATTTTACATTTTTATTATTGGGTATTAGCCCAGGTGTTGAGATCTATGTTAAGATCATTTTAAAGTAAAATAATTTTTCCAGGATTAACTATAACAAGCAGTATCAAATAAGTGAAATATTTTAAACAACAGCCTTATTTTAAGTATTTAAACACCGACTAAAGATGATAATTTAAACATGAACTATTATTTTTTAACTAAATAATTAAGGAATAAGTCATCAAATAAACACAAAGTATTAAAAAATGTAACTTAACTCTTTAAAAGTAAGCGTGCAAAAAAAAAAAAAATAATAACTTCCCAAATCCCCATAACATCAATGATAAAAGTACCTCTCCTTTAAACTCTGCCCTCCAATGACTAGCTGTACCAGGTATAATGACATCAGCAAAATGTTTTAGCTATTGTAGAGTAAACAAAAGGCTGCTGACACTTCTTTCACATTAATAATAGTAATCATTTTTAGATAACTTTTTAAAACTGTCATTTTTGTAATAATTTTTTTTATCAATAGTTTTTATTAGCAGAGCCTCAGTTTATTTGACAATTTAAAAAAAAACAAAAGATTAAATATTTTCTCCACAAATTGTTGTCATTGTATTTTTATTATATATTTATATTTATCAAATGGAAGTTAATATTACTGATTAATTTAAATAAAACCACAACAAATACTAATAAAAAGTACCAAATAATAAAAACTCTATAACTCCCCATATCTTATTTTTCAGAAACAGAGATGGAGTATGCAAATAAATAGACCAAAAATAAAATCAAAACACATGAAGTTGTCTTTGCTAAATGTATATGCAGAAAGCAATTAGTTCAATTTATAAATAAAGAAGTTGTATAGCTATATACAGTTCAAACACATGTAAATAAATAAAAAATGTATGAGTCTTGAAATAAAAACATTTTATTACCCTATTGTCCAGGGCCCCGGTCAAACTGTCCTCTGTGTTTTCAGTCACGTAGCTGGATGTGTAGCGGCTGTCCGACTGGACATCAAAGTCTTCATCTTCATCATCCTCATACTCAGACTCAACCCACAGCCTGTGACCTTTGCGAGGCACAAGTCGGCGCTTCTCTTCATCTTCGATATCACTGCCGGCATCTGGCTCATTGTCACATTTATTCTGGTTGATGTTGTCGTAGAGCAGTGTAGTGCTTGCCGAGTCAATGGCGTTGTAATAATGGGACACCGAGCCTACATCCGTCAAGAGTATGCTGTCTTCTGTCACTGAATCATCCAGAACAATGGGGAGGGTATCTTTGGCAAACTTTACCTGAAGTGATATACGAGAAATATTTTACACAAGAAACTGACAGTAGGTGGAGTGCATTGAGCTTTTCAAATTCATGTATATCACTAAAAATTTTACATAATGTTCATGTCTTTATATATCAACCAAACAAATTGACAAGTGAAATTTAAAACTTTAATGATGTGAAATATAAGAATTATAAAATCTAGTTATATGTTTAAAAAATAAGAACACTTTCTACAAATCTAGGTTATGAAGTAAGAAATGGAATTCAGTCTGTTAAATAATTGTTGGGTGCATTAAGAATTTTTGCAAAATGGCTTTGGTCTTACATAATTTTTACACAATTTAGTTTATTTAACCAATAAATTAATTTGATTGTCCTAATACAAATTAAATAAAAGGGAAAAAACTAAAAAATTTCATTAACATTAAAACAATGAGTTACTTTAAATATAGTTTCAATTATGTACATTTTTCTTTAAAAGTCAGAAAAGTTTTCTAATTCATTTTTGACACTATACCTGGCATATTTATTCAGATTTTATCTCAACAAGTAGACTTAATGAAAAGAAGATTTAAATATTTGAGTTTAAGATAACAAAACAATTAATTAGCAATCAAAATGGCCAAAAAGGTAATTAAATAAACATGGCAATTTGCATTGTGGCCAACGTAGAAACAATTTTTTAAAAATTCAAAGTACCTGAACTTCTTGAGTATTTACAAAACTTGGAGCACTGTGTGTTCGAGGGACAGAGAGGGGATTAGTTAGACTGAGAGAGCCAACAGTGACTTCCCTGGAGCGTGCCATGCCATGTGGATTACTTACACTTCCTGACATCGCACCCCCTCCCTCCCCAGCCTCCCCACTGCCGGAGGGGTGAACATTGCACAGACTGGAGAGATTTCTACTTGAAGAGTTCTCAGAGGCTACAGATTCAGCCGCCATAAGGGACACATGGCAGTTCCAACCTGCTTCAAGGCCCATTTTTTCAGCAAAAACCTGCAAATAGCAAAGACTTATGTTCCCTTTAAATGTTCTGACCAGTGTGAAAAAAAAATGACAAAATAATAGTACAATAGAGAAGCACCCACATGGAACTGCCGAGATTTCTGTTATTTTATTGTGATTTCAGAACATCAGGGCAGTTGGAAGGTAGAATTTGGGCTATGAAATTTCCCTTACATTTAATTGAAGCTTTATGCACTATAAATTCTGTGAGCATAACATTTAAGGAACTGCTCACTGAAATGACAGTTCAGCTTCTCAGCTTTGTGTTGGAATGCAAATAATAAAATTTTAAAATATATTAAGACAAAATTAACAATTATCTTAAGTTACCATTGCATTGTACTTACTCGACTTCTAACTTCATTTTCCTTTGAAAAATGTACAAATCTAATGCAGGCAGACTCTAGCTTATCAATCAACTGCACAAAATCCTGTTCAACATAAATTTTAGTCTAATTAACAAATAACTTCCCTCACTTAGAAATAAATGAGACACAATAAAACAATAGGTTCAGCTTAAATAATGACTATACAGAATACAAATGTAAACGTTTTGGCAAATGTCTTCATTAGTACAATGCAATATTCCACCACAAACTAACAAATAAACAGTAAGAATAAACTAATAAAAAGAGTATTATAAAGAAATATGGTCATTTGTCATATATCCGGTAGGTCGCGATATTTAACAAGGCGGTCTGCAGGTTGGCCACTCATTAAATTAAGTCAAGAAGCTTGATTTTATTTTGTGTTCAAATATTGTAGTCTATTAACTACCGCAAGCTGTATTAGGAGATGAAGTGAAGGAGTTCTGGAGCCAAATGTTTACTAAATGCATCACTAAGACAACTGCTGTATCTAGCCAGCATCTAGCCGATAGGTCTCAGTGTACCATCATAAAAGATGTCTCAAAATCATGCATTCTATGCCAAAATCATAAGAGTATAAAGGTCTGTTCACATAAAAAAGTGGGTATGGAGATGTGGCCTTCCTGACAAACAATCTATGCAGGGTATTACTTGGAGTTAAATAAAAACTATTTGAAAAAAAAACAAAAAAACTTTTATTTACTTTTATTTTTTGTTATTCTCCATTCTCCACATATTGTAAGTACAGTCTCTAAATCAAAGAAACAAATCTAGATTTAAAGACAAACAAGATCCTACTTACTTGTCTAGCTTGATACTGCAGCGAGACCATGCCAATGAAAGTTTGATGCGACTGAAGCATCCGGCCAATCCCCAATCCTTCCACGGATGAAGAGGGGCTCAGTTCTAGAAGAGAATCCACACTGTATGATCTCTGGTGTCTCTGCAGCTCTTCCTCTCCATCAAGGAAAACTCTTAAATAAAATGTTAAACAATATCTTTTTATCTCTTTGGAAATAAATGTCATTTTAAAATAATATGAGAGAAATCATGATCATATAACCCCTAAATCTATCCTGCTTGTATTAAGTATTTGTTTTTGAGTTTACTTTAATGAAAAATGCATTAATCAAAATAAGTTTCTAAAAGAAACTCATCTTTAACTTACTGATAATACGGTTGTTTGACTTCAATCCAGCATAAGTAGATTAATAAGACACAAAAGAATTCTTTAAATATATAAGTGTGGGTACATTTTTGCATATTCTTCACAAAAACAAAGAACAGAAGTAATTTGAACTGCATCACTAAGTTTTAACATTGTTGCTCTCATTCATTTCACACAAAGACATACTGACATGACTTTAAGGTTGAAGACAACAACAAACAAAGTACCCAACATCCTCTCCATGGGCTACTTTTGTGGCACTTGGGCTTTCCATTAGTTCTGTGTAGACATCGCTTGACCAGTCATGGATTGACTTGGGCAAAGGTTTGTAAGCAAATGCAGTGCAATACGCAATCATTGAGTTTCTATGATAAAAATCCAAAACTCTCTTTCTGAAATGAGAAATTACTCTTATTTTTAAAATATATTTGACAAGACAAGTATTTTGGTTAAATAAGTTTATTTATTTTTTTTAAAGAATGATTTAGATAGATTAGTATGGTTCCTTTCCGAAGATTGTTCCAATTATGGAAAAATGATAATGAATATCATTGTAAAATTTTTTTAAAAATTCTATTATACAAGTCAGCCCCAATTTCATTGGTAGCTGATACTGTTTTTTCTAAATATTATGCACTGATAGCACTAGAGGCCAATACTTTTAATGTAAATATAACATAGCAGAAATATCTTAAGTTATTTACAGAGTAATCAAGCAAGCCTTATAACTAAGTATCTCTGCATGTAAGCATCTCTCCGTCCAACCATTTAAATTAAGATACTTAAGCTGACCTATCCATTTCTGATAAAGTTTGTAGATCTGTTCCATTCCAAGCATCCGTGCAGCAGTCCAATACAAGGTCGCCTGTCCCCTGTGTCATTAACTGGCACATACCTTTTATTAGAGAAGACCAGAACTTGTAGTCTCATTATATTTTAATATTTAAAAAAAAAATTAATTTAATAAAAAGATAACTAACCTTTTTATTGATTTCATTAATTTGAATATAACATTCTAGCACTATTAGTATTAGCTGACAACATGGACCACAGTTTCTTGATAAGTTAAATAGTATAGATTTCAGATGGAAAAAAAAAACTTCTCCCCACAATTTGAGGGGAAAAAAATGGGGTAATAATTTTGCAAAGGATGTAACTTCATATTCTGAATACAACACTGTCCCAAAGTTGTCTATTGATAAAAATTAGTGTATCATTGTTCAATAATGCATTTAAAGAGGAAAATACTCATATTCTAATGTAGAGCTATTTCTAAGGTGGTCTCTCTCTCCCTTTTAGCTTTAGTTCCAGATATACGAGAATTATATTTATGATGATGCTCAGCCTTTTAATTGACTTTCTAGATATAACTCTTTCCCCCAAGTTTTCTCCCAATTTATAACAAATAGCTTTATTTATTTTAGTTTTCTCTTACAGTAACTGAAACATAACAGTGAGTTTATCTCTTACCAGTGAGTTTATCTCTTACTACAACTGAAACTTGGTTAGGCATTGGAATCTTGTGTTGAATAAATGAACGTGCTCTGTTCTGTTTTTCTCTTTCAGCCTCCTCGTGCGGCTTTGAAGATAATACAAATAATTTTTTTTACCACAAGTTATAAGATATTTTATTGAACAATGAAATTTCAGATTTTTTTAAAGATTCACGTTTATCTTATTTAATTTATTTAAAAGTTAGCATTTTTTTAAAAATGTTCAGACTCATACAATACAAATGAAGCCTAAATTGTAATAAAATAAAAGTTTCCAATAAAATAAATTCAGTATGTATGCTGACCACTTGTCTGTAAACTCCTAATGTTGCTTCATGTGTAAAGATATTTATAGCATCATCTGTGAAACCTATCTCGCGTGAGAGTAGACACAGACACCTGGAATGGCACAAAATGATTCATCTAAATGATTAGGTGTGTTTGTTCTAATGTTGAAACATGATCCATGAAAATGTTTTGCAGCACTTTAAGAATGGTACAAAAACAACTAAATCGGTTAAGGAAGAACTTAACAGTGGCTTCGTAAAACGACAGAGATATAACAAATTTTAAAAAAAAATTTAGTTAACTAATTTCATAATTTATTATTCTTAAATAAAGATACATCAAATTGGAAAAAGAAACACAAAATTCATGATAGAAAAGAAGAAAATCTGGCAAATGACAGAAATTTAATGAATGTAAAAGAAAAAATTGAAGAGGAAATGGGACAAAATATTATAGCTCTTGATTGGACTAGGTAATCCTGTTGATTTGCATGCATCATTCTGTCCATGTGGTGATCAGGATTCCATCTTATCTGTCATTAAAATCTGTGGTAATTTCCTATTTTATTGAAGAGCATTTTAAACTGGTGTCCGCCACAGACTGTTTCATGAAAGTATGTAGAGTCAGAGCAAAGCTGTAGGTAATTTATGTGTTTCACGCCTTCACTGAAAAGGTCTAAAAAGGTTAAGGGCCATCTATATATTACACATGCAAAAAAAATTCATGTTTACATACCCCCCCCAATCTTCTGCTGCACCCAAAAAAATTTGTTTGATTCAACTCAGAATAAGATTGTTCACAACTACCCCAGATCATAGCCTTTCTTGCTAATAATTACTATTTTCTTCTAGCTTATGTGTCTTTTTTTCTCCAGCTTTCTCATAATGCTATTTATTGGTTAAAGTTTATAATCAGATACTAAACAACAAAATAAAGCTACCTTCTATTTACAACAGCCACTGTATCCTTTTTCTCTTTGGCAGCACAAGAAACATGGTCTGTGAACTGTGTGTACCATTCTGTGGTCTTGCAACTGCATGTGTTCAACAAAATGCTCAGCCCCTGTTGATGTACAGATTGTCCTCATAATGTTTAAAATATGAAAGTCCAAATTTATTTAACACTAAAGAGACACCATTAACAACTTAACTTCTGGTTCAATAAACTGGGCCAATAATTTTATAATATATTTTTTCATACTGAAGTATTATTTTTAAATTAAAGTTCATTCAAATTAATTTGATACACTGTTGAAAGCTAACTTTCTTTTGTCATAAGAATGCTGTAAATCATAACAAAATGCGTATAGATTCCATTGGCATATCCATACTGCACAATACATCTCTGGTCTTCACTAGATTGAGTCCTTTCCTTTCATCATATCCACTTTCACAACTTCTCAAATACAAGCCAGCAGGTCACAAGCAATGTTCCCTCTAAGGTTTGTTGGTTCGTGTGCAAAATCATTAAGCTGTGAGCAAATTTTTACAGCATCAATTTTTTTGTGTGCAAAATTTTACAGCATACAGACACAAACACACACTTAAGTGGAAATTAGCTGCGGGGTACTCAAAACTGCTGCGCAGCGTCTGTGAGAATACTAAGGAAAAATTCTAATAAGCTAAACACATAATAGCTACCAAAGGTTTGAGAGCTGATAAGTGATCTTTCCAGTTGGGATCATCAAATAAAACTCCAAAAGCATCCTGTAGTGATAGAGATTTCTTGTTAAATAATGACAAAACCTATGGAAAGTGAACATAACTATATTTTTATAAATTTGTATTCGTGTGATTTAACCTAAACAAAAAAAAATAATTTACAGAGCAGGTAATGAAGTGCTGAAATTTTATGACAATTTTACAAGGCAGAATACATAGTAATCATGCCAATGGGTTCTTCTGTGACAGTTTATTTTAAAATGTTACCCTTAGCTTTGCTGCATCATGTGTCATGTCTAGCACTTCTATATTGGATGATGGATCACTCTCTGTTGAAATAATAGTTATAGGTGGAGCAGGGACAATACATATGGATGCTCTAACTCTAAAACCACATATCTTGTTTTCAGATAATTAGAGCTAGTAAAATTATACTTTTCAAAACAAAGATCTTATGGCCAAGATTAATATCTTTTGGTGAATAACTACACTTAATAGTTTTCAAGCTTTTTTTATAGTTAAAAATCAACTGCTCTTTACTTGTAGCTAAGGTTATGAATTACCAAAACTAATTCCATCAACTCAACTTGAAAAGTACATGTTGCATAACATGTTAAAAAAAAAGCTTCATTTACCTAATATCTCTATCTGAACTTAGTTTTACCTGAGTTAGTTTTGTGTCTTCTTTTACGTTTTATTATTTTTTTCTCCTCTTTCCCATTGTTATCAGGCTCTTCTTCCTCTTGAGGTTCATGCTTTGATGCAGATGAAAAGAAGAAAACTTTCTCTGCAGATGGATTCGGCCAGGACAAAATTCCTTTCTTATCTACACAGCATAATGCCTGATTGGAAATTAAAGTTGTTTTTTAACGTTTAAAAATTTTGTTTACCTAATTTATTGTGTAAAAGAAGTTCAGAGCAAAAATATTACTTTTAAGTCGTTAACCATAAGGGTGTGTTGAGTATTTTGGACACAGAGATTTTTAAAGATTTGGGGCCACTGCCTTAGGAAAAAAATTAACTAAACTCTAAATACAATACCTTAAAAGGCCTGAGAAAAATTGATAGAATTTCTATGGGTATTTTCTTTGGTAGATTTTTTTTAAAATGAACAAATGATGCTAAAACTTACTGTAACACTTCCAAGGGCATGGAGCATTTCAAAATCTGGGCAGGCTATAGGCTTATTACCCCAGAACATGTCCCAAAATCCTTTTAGTGTTTCTTGCCAGTTGATACTTATATCAGCATCTTTCACAGAAATGTTACTACAACTTCCAAGACTTTCTGTGGAATCTTTAAAGTCCTATTTTGATTTCAGAAATTTTATACATAAATTACATTAGCAAAATTACCAGAAATAAGATGTTAAACAACTATTTAAAAAAAACATTGATATATATATTTATAAAAGACGATTTCTCATAGTCTTGCATCATGCAGAAAACATGAAATTGTACTAACTTACTAATCTATAGGACACATTTCAAATAAGTTAGTTTTAAAAGGTGTAAAATCACTGGTTTAGATGATTCTTCATAATATATTTATTCATTTAGCGTTTAGTAATTTTACATAAAAAATTTTGTGAATGAACAAAGGCACCTTCAAGGATCGAAACACATCATATGCTGCAAATATATGAGCTTGTCCAAATGTGTTGACAACAGTCCATAGAAAAGGCAATAGCACAGGAACCAGAGGAAGTGTTCCATGAATCTAATAAGAATGATAAATAGCATTGACAATTTTAATGTAATATACATTTGTAATGTAAGAAATGAAAAAAGTTGAAACTTTTCATTTATATTAAAGTTTATTTTATTTTTAATTTGAAGAAGATTAAAACTGTTTGAATTCATTTATTTATTTTTTCTAATTTGGTGTATATTACAATGTTATTTATCAAAATGAACATTTGGTATTTGATGCTATCAGCATGGAAGTTTCATATATAAGTATTGGTAAAGGATTAACTTAATATTAATTTATTATGAAGAGAAAAAAAAATTTAATTGAAAAATAAGATGATAATGTGTTTAAAATTGCTATATAAGAAAATATATATATTTATAAATTAATCTAAGGTTTTATATTTAAAATGTAGCTCTATTTACCTGCATAACTAAAATAAGTTCAGTCCAGTGGCCACCATCTTTGTCCAAATACAGATATCTAAATATGTTTATAGCCAGAAATATAAGCTGAAAATTTAAAAAAGTGATAAAACTTAAATGCTTAAAACACCAATGTTTTCTAAATAAAAAAGATATTAAATTGCATTGAAGCAATGCAGAAATTTTTTAACAGCTTTGTAGGAATAAAAATTGTGAAATGTAATTCAGTAAGAGTTGCAAGAAAATGAAGTACCGTAAGCTAAATTTGGAAAACTATGGATATAATTAAAAAGACATACAAACATAACTGGTAGAAACCTTCTTTCCAGCCAGACATTGCATACAGTGAACCGTTCATTTTCAAGGAAACTTTGAGGTTTTCTAGGATTATCTTGAAACATGAATCTAAATAAATGTAGTAGATGTATATATAATAATACCGTTTCATTATAAAGTAGTCAATAACAAACGTGTGAATATTTTTAAAATGCAGTGGAAAAAAAAAATCAAAATCTTGAAATGCTAATAACAAGCCACTATAAAATTTTAATTTTGGTTCATTAGTAATGGTTGAAAGAAACATTCTACAATAACAACCAACAAAGAAAACAATTTGAATTCAACTGAAGTGTAAAATTTGATCTAATGAATATTGAATGCTCTAATCAGCAAATAATCTTATGTTAATGTAATTTAAATGCATTGCAGCACGTTTTTTGAAAAGTTGGTTCTGACATAATTGTTTTTGATGTAATATCTTTTAAATACCTGAAATTCTTTATGATAGGGGTTTCTTTTAAAACAAATTTTTTTGTAGATAATGGTTTCCTCGGCTGGGGTCCTTCTCCTGTTTCTTTTTGGGTTTCAGAAAAATAAACTTCACCAGATTGCAACTCCATATCACCCTGTAAAAAAACATTCAAAGATTAAATGACACAGAAATTTCTAGCTTACAATTAGTAAACAGTTGGTTCACTGATGATAAAAGTAAATGATATCCATTCATAAAATATAGAACTGTTGACATGAACATATAGTTTCTGTTGACATGAACATATAGTTTGCATTATAAGTTACCTCTAATGCCACACAGTGTTCAGGAGTAGCATGTCCTGGGCGCATGATAATCACATCTCCACACACAAGTAGTGGGAGTGGCAAGTTGACCAATCTACTGTCCCTGATGCACCACTGTAAGGAGATGCATGGGGAAAGTGGTGTATGCTGATTTGGGTAGATGTCAGGACTCCATGTGCTTTTTGTAATCGCATCTGTTTTTGTCGTCACATAAAACACACAAAAAATGCAATACAATTTAAAGTAAAAAACACAATGATCAAATGAAACACAAGTTCAATTTTAAATTTATCTAACAATTTTTTTTTACTTAAATACCTATTTGAAGACATGAAACATTGTTCTACTAACTATTAAAGCTACAAATCCTACCTTGTAAAACATTTAAAAATCCTCTCTTAAGGCCAATTTCTTTTGCTTCATGTTTTTTCATTTTCAATCGAATGAGTATTAAATTGAAAATAATGGAGAGTATCAGAACTAGAGCTTCAACAACTAACCAGGCTCGACTACCAGATGAAAATCTGAAAAGAGTAGGCTTACAGTTATCTAAATTTCAAAACTTTAAGTCTAATTTTACAAGAATTTTTTCAATAAAATGAAACAAAATTATAATATATATATATATGCAGCAGTACAGCTCTGCCACACAACTATGAGGTAGAGAGGATATTCTCTAACAAGGGGAAAATAACTTGGTAAGGAAGCTATTCTTGGGAAGAAGGTACACCCTGGATAAGGAAAACCACCCATCAAAAATTTGGGAAAACATGTCTCCACTCTCGTAGCACAAGAAGCCAAATTTAATAAATAAATATAAGTTTAAGAATTATATCTCAATAAATGTTTTTGAGAATATGTGTTTTTATTGTTCCCAGTAATGCAAATTTTTTTTTCTAAAATTATTTTTAAAGAAACAATTTTTTTTTTTTTTTACTTTTGTTGCTGACACTGAAAATAATAAAACTGTCAAGAGAAAAAAGGCCTGAAATTACATCATAAATCATTAAGCATACTAGTTAATCTTTACCTTATATAATAATATGTCAAACAAAAGATTTAAAAATCTTACTTGTCTACTTCTTCCATTGAGGCTGCTACCAACAAGGATGCTGACATTGCAGAGACACATATAAAAGAGATAGGTGTATAATGGGATGACCTGCCAAGCATCTGAGATAAAAGTCTACGCCACCATGATCTTTTCAATGAGAGATCATGCTCGCTAATAAGATTTTGAATCTCATTTGATAATCTTTGAAGGGCTTCTGCTGAGCTCAGACCACTCATCTCTGCATTAATATGCTCTCTGCAATATAAAATATTTATTTCAGCATAATACAATTCTTTTAAGTTTCAGCTTCTAACATGAATGAGTAACAACACTATGTATCTCTTCATAGAGAGTTGAAATGACAGTCTTAATATCACAAATTTCTTATCTGTATGATTGCAAGAAAAGCAAAGCATTTAATACATCATCAGCTACTTCAGTTTAGATTTTATTTATTATAATTAAAAGCTTTAATTTAAAAAATGTGACAGATTTCAAGTGTGCAATATTAACGATGCAAAATAAAAGACAGTTTCCAATGCTAAAATAAAAAGAAGTCAATAATTTCACACAGATTATGATTTTTGTGTAGAATTTTTTTTTTTTAATAAGTTAAAATAGGCCTAAAGTTAAATAGCTTATGGACCTACCTGTTTCAGTGTATGTGGAAATGACCAGATATAAATAATCTGGATAAAAAAATCATATCTATATATGTGCAGGGTTAATTTCTTTGAGTGTGAGCCAATCAACAGCCATTAAAATATATAGGGGTGTACATTTTTGTATGCATGATTCCAAATTTAAATTTCTTTGATTGAAGTATTTTTTCCATTAAGGCCAATTTAATGATTTCAAATTCAAAGGAGACCAAATTTTATTAAGTGACATTATTTATAGTCATTAATGAATGGTACTGACAGTCACATCACTAACATCAGGCAGATTCAGATCATTTTAATACAAATATGGGTGTGGGTATGACATGTGTAGAGTTATGTGTGCTATTTTGTTGTTATAACAAAAATTCTGGATAATGATGTTGACATTTTGAGAGGAATCTGAAAAGAAAAACAAACACAAAAATATGTTAGCAAAAAATTCAACCTTAAAAACTTTCTGGAGAACTAGTAGACTATAGTATTATAATAGAAATAGTACCAGTATAGTATATGGCTATTTCCCTCGGTTAACACTATAAAACCATGGTCTTTGCCAGTCTTTATACTTAACACACTATAAAACCATGGTCTTTGCCAGTCTTTATACTTAACACTTTGGCCTAAAATAAATGTTACTTTTTTTTTGTTTAAATTCATATAATACTTGCATGATTAAACAAAAGTAGTACTAGTATTTTTAGTTTGCGCAGGGTTCAAGTCCTGCAGGAATGCATGGGTATGACGTTCATGTAACTGTAATTTTTTTTACGAAATATAAATATTTCTTTTAAAAATATTTTGGGGGTTTCAAGGGAGATAATGGGAAAGTTCCTTTACATTTGTGGCAAGATACTTGTAAGGAGTATTTCTTAGTATTTTTTCTGTTCGTATTGGGCAGCTTCATAAGTAAAATGCATTTTACATTCTAATTTTCTGGGCATAAAGTTTGTTCTTTAAATGGAGAGGTGCTCTTTTGGCTAAATGAGAGTTTTTAGTGACAGTGGGTGGCCAAAATATTGGCCCATCCAAAGGGCACTTTACCTGAGACTAAGCTCTGGGATATAGGATATAGGAAATAAAATTTGTTTCAAAAAGAAAAGGGGAAAAAAAAATAAGGGGGGGGGGGTGCATGTGTAATTTTAAAACATGATTGTTTTAGTTAACCACTTTAATTATCTTGACGAAAAAAATATTGCATTGCAATACAAATATATTTTCACTTATACTTATTGTAAATTTTATCCTTTGAATCTTTAAGTTAAAACTAAAATAAAAGGCAGCTAATTGGAAATTAAATCTTCTTTAAGGCAGCATGAAGACCTCTTTTTGTTTCCCTTCCTAGGGGGGTGGGGCATATGTAACATATGTGATCAGGTGGGGCCAAAAAATGCTTGGGGAACACTGCCAAGATGTTAAATTTGTGTTGTGGGTTCGGACACATTTTTTTCTCACATCACAAGTGTATCTGTTTCTGATCATCAGAATCATCATGCCGGCTGAACCTGGGAATAGCACATCACTGCAAGTATCAGGTTCAGCATTTTGCTTTGATCCCAAGAGTTTGAGCTTATCATTCATTTATTTCACTAAAAATTCTAAAGTGTTTTTGGGAGCTGGAGGTATGGCTTATCTTAATGCAATTTACCAGATTATTATTATTAAAGATCGCTACATCTTGATCAAGTTTGAAAGAATAACAATAAAAGCTTGATAATCGGCATATAACGTACATTCATCTAGCCACAATCTAGCGTTAACCACAAGACCACACAAGATTATATCCAACAGCCATGGCCATATCTCAAGAAGAGGCGAATGGTAATTTTTGCGGTGGTGTACGTAGGTCTAGGTCCATAGTCCATGGTTTTCCTAGATTCCTACTAATTCCTAGGTACACCATCGCTGTGTTCGACCCACTTGATTTCGACTTCTAATTTACATGAAGTATAATGATAATGAATAAAGAAAAGTATAATTACGTTAATAGTTAATTAGGCAGGTGGCCGTGTGTGAAGAAATTATTAATATTATATTTGTTTAAAAGATTGAACCTAAGACAATTTCATTGTTAATAGTAATAGCATTTGTTTACTTTAAATTTTGAGTTAATTGTACTGAACTGTAAAATAGTGTAAGGGCTTAGCGTTATTCAGAACATTTGAAAATTTAAGTTTTTAATATTAATTATTACTGAGATTTGGAATTGCTTATTTTTTCTGCCGATCCCCTTTAGTTCGATTACCAAACTATTGAATTCCCAGGGACTTTTATTAAGTACTACGGGTGTACGGATGAAACTTCTACTTCTATTAAAATATATCTGTTCATATATATATATATACATATATTTATTTATTTATTTATATTGATTTATAATATGTACGTTATTTACACATTTCATCGGCAAAATTTAAGTCAAGTAGGGACTACATTAAATTTCCGTTTCAACTTTAAAATATTAGTTAAATAGAAATTAATTTACGGTTCCTGCTGCTGCTTAATTAGTAATTCCGCATGCTTTTTGAAACACTTTGTTGCGTGTTTTCTTTAATTTTTCAAAAAGATCGTCTTCATATTATGTCATATAATTTATTTACCTCGATACTTAAAAGTATCGTTTGTGTATTGTATTATGTGGTTGCGCTAAATTTCACAGCAGAACATCAACCAAAACAAAAAGAAGTAGGCCTAAATAATATTGTAAAGTTTTAAAATGTCTATTTACCATATCAAAATTTTAAAAAAAATCTGAAGAATTAAGTTTACAGACATATAGCGCATTCAATTATATTTCATTTGATACTTTTGTATTACAAACTCAACAATAAAATTTTAAATATTTAAGCGTTATTCACACAGTTCTGTGAATAACGTTTAGCGTTATCGGCAGACCGAAATCTGTGAATAACGGCGAGCGTTATCCACACAGCTCTGTGAATAATGTTTAGCGTTATCGGCAGACCGAAATCTGCGAATAATCATATAATGCATTAGATCTAGACTGGTGAAAAATTATTGTTGGATGTAGGCTATTAATATTGGGGTTGAAATGGCTAGAAAGACTTTGCAATTGTATGCTAGTAATTAGTTTTTGTAGAGTTGCGTTTGTTTTAAATGTGGTAAATTATAGATTTGTTTTTTTGTTGACTTTGTACCGCGCTTCGAGCCTTTGGGGATGAAGCGTGTTTTTGAAATGAACTTCATTATTATTATTATTATTAATATTAATATTACTATTATAATTATTAGTATACTGAACCGTCATGAGTTATTATCGAATTTTTTTCACTATCAATTATAAAAAAAGGGCAAATTTATTACTAATATTAGTATGGTAATATCTGTATACCGGTAGTATAATAGTAATAGCCTATTACTATACTAAATATTATGCAGTATAAAGTATATACACAATTGTAGTATAAGTAATATACTTAGTTACTTAGCTTAATCAGTATACGCATACATGGGCGCCCGCAGAAAACTTTCGGGGGGGGG